CCTAACGTCTGCCATCCAGATCCCCCTCAGACTTCTCTCCTGGCCAACCCCTACTTGGAATCATACAGGGAAGGGAATTCTGGAAAACCAAGTTCCACTTTAGCTAAGTCGACACAGTGGAAAGCCACTACACATGTTTCCATCATCACAAGTGCTTTTCGATTCTCTCACCATGTTCTTCCAGGCTTCCATGCCTCTGCATGGGATGTTCTCCCCAACCACGGCACCTGGCAAACTCCTACAGCACCTTCAAAACCTGCAGAGGCATCGCCTCCTCCCAGAAGAGTTCCCTGACACTTCCCCTCCAGCACCAGCTGTGTACTTTGTACATAACGACCGCCTCTATTGCACATGCTAACTGCTTCAGGGGCAGAATCTCTAATCTTAAGAACCGAGCCGAACTGTGCTTATTTTACAGATGAATAAATAGTTGCTCAGAGTGATTGATTAACTTGCACAGGGTCACACAGTGAGAATATAATCAAGAGAATAGAACAGCAGAACTATCATTCAAATCCCTGTCTGTGACACTTCTTCAAATTATAACCCACCATGACTGGAAAGGTGAGGAAAACTTGGTCCCTACCCATCAGAAACTATCTACTGGAGGGGAAAGAGAGCCGGAATGTAGTTAGGCTGCTGGTGAGACTGCCAGAAGGAGCAGGAAGTGGGGTGGGGTTTGGGGAAGGGGGTCCCAGGCAGTGACAAGGCTGTGTTTCCCTCCCACCATGGGAGTGAAACCTCCAGCAGTGGCTTCTCCCAGCCCAGCAGCAGGGATGCGGAACAGCAGTTATCTCTGCTCCTCTGCTCAGCTCTCACAGACTCTGGACGTGGCCCGAGGCTGAGGTCAGGGCCGTCCCCGGGCTACTCCCAGGCCTGGCCAAAAGGAAGACGAGACTCCCACCCCCACCCCGCCCCAGCCTGTCAGCAGCTGGGATTATTAAAGGAGCATTGGGCTGAAGCCAGGGAGCGAGGTCCTAGCTGACTACTCACTGTGTGGCTCCCGGCACATCCTACCCCTTTTTAGGACTTTAGTTTCCTTCTCTGGAAGACAAGGGGCCTGGGATGTTGGCTAAGATCCCTCATTCCCTCAGTCGCCATCTGGGATTCCATGTGGTTGTCTGGATTTGGCAGTTCTCATTTTATTTCACCAGGGGGCGCCAAATCCTAGCTTCTGCCAAATTGGCTCCTGATTAAAAAGGGGTGGTTTAGCGAAGGGAGCTCACAGGAGGTGCTGAGCGTGAGCTGAACGCGATGAAGTGTGTGGGTTTGTGTGGAAACAATGAGGGTGTGTGTGTGTGTGTGTGTGTTTGCAGCACCAGAGTTCTTACAACCACCTACATCTACCACCATCACCCTCTGCTGAGTTCATTTCCAACCACTTGCTGCCTCCCTATGTCTGCTCCAGCCACATTGGCCTCCTAGCGCTGCCTCACAGTGCTCCTGCAAGAAGTGGCCTCAGGGCCTTTGTGTGTGCTGTCCTTTCAGCTTGGAACACTCGTCCCCTAGACATCCACAGGGCCCTCTCTTACTTCCTCGCTGTGAGGCCTTTTCTAGCCAACCCATATGAAAAACTACCTCCAAACTCATTCCATGCTTTATTTTATGTTTAAGATTGTGGTAAAATATACCTAACATAAAATTTACCATTTTAACCGTTTTGAAGGGTAAAGTTCTGTGGCATTAAGTACATTCACGCTGTTGTACAACCATAACCACCATCCATCTCTGGAACTTTTCCCATCTTCCCGGGATGAAATTCTATAGCCATTGAACAACTCCCCATTCGCCCCTCCCCCAGCCCCTAGCAACCACCATTCTTTCTGTCTATTAATTCGACTACTCTAGATGTCTCACAAAAGTGGAGCCATACAGTGCCTGTCCTTTTGTGACCGGCTTATTTCACTTAGCGTAATGCCTTCAAGCTTCCTCCATGTTATACCATGTGTCAGAATTTGCTTCCTTTTAAAGGCTGTTTAATATTCCTTCTTATATGTATATATACCACATTTTGTTTATTCGTTCATCCCTTGATAGACACTTGAGTTGCTTCCACTCTGACTATTGTGTATAAAGCTGCCATGAACACGAGTGCACAGATATCTGTTTGAGTCCCTGCTTTCAATTCCTCTTCCATGCATTATTTTTTTGCATAGCACTTATCACCATCCAAGCCCCTTCCATCTGCCCCCAACTAGAGATGCAAATAATTTCTGCTCGGTAGAAAAGATAACCCCAAAGGTTATAGTTGCAGTTTCTTAAAGGACGTTAGCTTATTATATCGAACCCAGCATTTTTATTCTAACATTCCTTTTTAAATGTCTGTAACTGCTTAGTTTCTCCACATGCTCTCTGGACCAGCTATACCATCTTGTTTGGGCATTAATGAGTTAATCGATCTTTGATACGTGTTCATTCTATATACATATATATATATGAGTCATATTTTTAACTTTAAAAAAATGATGCATTGACATTCTAGAAATTCTTACCAGGAGCTAAAATCTGCATTTGTGGGGTGAAATTAAGTGCATCAGTAGTTTATAATGCGCTGCAAGCCAAGCTGGGGCTTCAAGTGTTCCAGGGCTGCTGCCCTCAGTGGAGACACCAACAGCACATATACTCATATGGTCAGGGACCTTCCTGAGTTGTGGCCTCTAAGTGTGCTGTCCAGGGGGTCGGCAAAGTCCCAGGGGGCTTATGAGGACCAGTATCTGCAGGACCCAGGAAAGACGGCATGCTTGCTTTATTACGGCAATGGCCAATAACTACTGAGCACTTTCCAGGAGCCGTGCACATCCTAAAAGCTTCAGATGTGTTCGCTGCTCCTCATGTAGTCCCCAGGAGATAGATACTGTTTGGCAGATGAGGGAATAAGCTCAGAGGGACTAAGTAACTCTGAAGATCATGGTGTAAGAGGAAATGAGAGAGGAAAGACTAAAATGAAGGTTCATGAGTAGTTCTAGAATGAATGGTTCTGTGTGCGTTGGGAGGGTTGAGCAGGTTTTTTTCTCTAGTTCTGCAATTTAAGCAGAGATCACAGCTGAGAGGGGAGAGCACAAGGTACTCTGTGGTAGGGGTGGTCTCCCCCATGCGGGTAGACACCACCCACAGGGGACAGTCTCTCCCACAGGGGACTGCTCACCTCCATGGGGCTTGCTGGGTGGTGCCAGAGAATACACTCCACCACCGCTGTGGCTCCCACTTCACCCTGGTGATAGAAGAGGACCACAGAGGGGTGTCGCCATTTGGGGGAGAGCAGAATTCAGGAAAGGAGCTATTTATCCCTGAGAGTAAGGAAAGAGAAGTATTTCTCTTACCCCAAGCTAAGGGAGGGGAACCCCAAGAGACTCCCCTTTGAAGATTGGGTGCCCGAGCCTTCCCCCAACACTGAGTGAGCACTGGTGACCTTCTTTTCTAGATGTGGCTCCGTGGTGGTGGAGATAGTGGCTCATGGCATGGCCAAGGGAGAGAGGGTCAGGGGACCCCGCCTTTCCCTCTGACGGGTGAGGAGGTTGGATGCCACATGAGCTGGCTGGCTGGTGAGGCTGTGGGCTGCAGACTTGCTGGGGACACAACTCAGGTTGAAAGTGTGTATTGTTTAGAGAGCTGTGGCCTGAGGGGTCAGCTGGAGGATGAGGCTTGAGGGACCCCCAATGCCAGGGGCTGCTCACCATTTGTCTACATGGAGCTCCTCATCAATGAACTAGATTAGAAGGACCCAGACGAGGAGAGGCCATGACGTTTCCGAAAGCAACCCCTAATGCCAGAACATCTAAGTCCATAAAGCGCTTACAACGGTGCCTGGGGCACAGAAGGTGCTACAAAGACCCGCTGTGAGTCATTCTCCGCGCTGTGGCTCCTCCCTACGTCAGTGAGAAGTGTCATCTCGCCACTGTACTCAACAGCAGACATCTCTCTCTGGGTGGTGAGATCTGCCTTCTGTGAGAGGAGACAGAGGTGGGGAGGGGTCCTCGGGGGCCAGGCCACAGGAGGCTGCCCCAGGACTCTTGGGACAAGGTACAAGCTCTGCCTCCCAGGGCTTTTGGCCTCCCCAACTCAGGACCCTCAGGGCCTGTGACAGGACATCGCAGGGAGGATGGAGCAGTGGTGTCTGCAGAGAAAAAGCATTCAGGACACTTTGCTTTAGAAACACGGCTGGATACTCCGTGTTGGGGAGCTGGGTGTCCCCAGTACGCTCCTGACAGCAGGAAGGTCATGCTCTGCGAGCTTCAAAAACTGGAATTGCAAAGGGGCACCAGAAGAACCTTCCAGAAACTCCTCAGGAAAATTCAGGTGGGCATCCCCAGGGCATAGTTTTTCTTCCACTATCCACTTAACCAAGGCCACTGCCCCTCATTGGAGATTTCTTTGGGGAGGCGATTAACTTGTCTCCTTTCCCTCATCCAGAAGTCTAGAGAGTTCCTTTCTTCCATTCAGTGCTCCAAGGAGGCCGACAAGATTGTGGACTATCCGCTGTACCAGGCTACATAGCCTAACATATTTAAAACCGAGTCGGTTTCACAGAAGATGCCTATTTATTTTTATTGAGGTAATATTGGTTTAATTATGTAACTTTCAGGAGTACATCATTCTATTTCAATTTCTGGGTAGACCACATCATGTTCACCACCCAAAGACTCATCACCATCCATCACGGTACACGTGTGCCGGTCACACTTCATGCCCTCCTCCCTCCCACCTTCCGCTCTGGTAACCACTCATCTCTGTATCCATGTGTGTGTTTGTTGTTGTTTATATCTTCCACTTATGAGTGAAATCATATGGTATTTTACTTTCTCCGACCTATTTCGCTTAGCATAGTACCCTCAGGGTCCATCCATATTTGTCGCAAATGCCTATTTAGAAGACACCTGGAGTCCGGGCAGCCAGCAGGCCCCACAGGATGGGCAGAATGTGGCCTGCTGGGAAAAAGACAAAATCCTCCCACTGCCCTGGGTCCATCCCGCCCCCGAAACAGTAAGACACTCAGCCAGGGCCAAGAGGTGAAGTTCTCATTTATTGTTGCGGCAACTCTTACAGACATTAGCGTTCCGTTAAATAAAGGAAGGTAACACATTAAATACATCACAACCCTCAAAACAGTAGGAGGAGGGGAGGGCAGGCCGGGCCCGGTGACCAGACTGTCAGAGGGAGTACATTCAGTGGGTGTGCGGCGTCGACATTCCAGGCTCACGTGTGTATAGATTTTATTTATATATTTATTTATATTTATATATAGAGATCGAGTTTTGTGTATACAAAGAACCATATTGTTACAAATACAATACTATACTTCTCCCAACGCTTTACAATAAGCTCTATTTCACCCTCTTTACAGAACAATAGTACAAGTCAAACTCTAGGGGCTGTGCTGGATATGTACAAGAGATTTCCTTCCCACACAGTCCTCACACACTGCCTTGATGGAAGGGGACGGAGAAGCGGGGTCGTGTGCTCAAGTCGGCTCAAACCAGGGAAGGAGCAGACAGACGTGAAACTCAAACCAAGAAGGGGCCTTGGAAGTGGGAGAGTAAACACATCTAAGAGGAGGTGGCCCGTGGTTGTAAACATCGGTAACAGCCACACCACTGGGTCAAGGGACCCAAGAAGGACTCATGGGTGCGTTTCATCAGCGTGCAGACAGGGGTGCTGGGTGTGAACGGGGGCCATGGGGGTGGCGGGAGTGATGGGGGAGGTAGTAGGTTACTCTGGGACTCTCTGAGGCCGGTGTGGATGGGCTCCAGGCCCCGGGGAGCTCGCTCTGGTGAGGGGAGTGGGCTCCAGGCATTGGTCTCTGGAGGCTTCTTCCTTTTGTGATCCCAAGGCTGACGGTGGCTCCCTGAAATGGTTGCATTTGAGAAGGCAGAGGCGGGGTGGATTCTGGTGCATCCTGGCTGGACTAGGAGGGGTAGACGAATCTAGGAATCTGTCCCCAAAGCTGAGTCACCAGCATGTCCTAGAAGAGCAGCAAGAGTGGCTTTTTGCCCTGGGGCCATATTTGGAGAGGCTGCTCTGTACATAGTCTTCCCTATTATATGGGGTATTCAGATATTTACATATATAGCTATACATATTGGGACGTCAGAAGGGAAACTGACCATGACTTCCCATGGGACTTTCAAAAGTGAAGTTAACATTTAATATTCCGCCTCCTTGGTTAACCAAAGTTAACAACCTCCATCCAGTGGGAGCAAGAAAAAGAATACACTTCAGCCGGGGGAACCTGTACTGAGCTCCAGAAACATTCACTAACTGGGTGTGAGAAGCCACCTTTATTAACATGAAGGTATACGATGGATAAATAATCTTAAACTAAAATACGTTAGTCCTCTAGGAGAGCTTACCAAGTTGGCTTTTTCAGCACCTGTCAAACTTTCCAAGATTTTCATGCAATAGCAATAGAAAGTATGTTCTCTCTCCCCTCTCCTTTGGGTGAAGAAACGTAATTGTAATTATTTGGGAGGCCGCACAGGGATGTGCTGGCGGAGTTCCCGTCTGCTGGCCAATCATGGAAGGGCCTCGGAACAGGTGCTTGGGTGGGCGCATGAGCCCTCTGATGATTTCCCAAGGCTCCTGAGGCCTGAAATACCAGCAACAATGCTGCATTCCTGTTCTACCCACTCTCTCTTTTTGGCAGAGGAAAGATGAACTTAGGACTCTTTAGTATTTAATTATAAGACACTCGACAGTTTGGCTGCATTGGGAAAGGTAAACTGAGAACCTGCCACCATGGTTCCTGGCTCCTCACATTTGCAGTGGGTCGACCTTGGGGGTTGGTCTCCCAGCAGCGTTCGGCTAAGCATCCTCAAAAGATGCCCAGGGGTCTTGGACTGCCCACCCCGGCAAGCCTGGAGAAGGGGCAGCCCCTTCCAGAGAGGAATTCAGGCATCAGCAGCCCATCTTCATCATGGCTTGTTGTACCACAAACCAAGAGTTCAGCCACTGATGCCTCTGAAACCTTTGGCTTTCCCGACTCTAAGCAGAAAACTCAGAGGTCCCAGGAGAACCGACCGCACGGCCCTCTGGTGGAAGGCTCTTGTTCCTAATCTTTCCATATTCACTTTTCTCCCTCCCCGAAATCCCTCCATTAGACCTATACAGACAGACTATCCAACATGTGCTCACCGACTTCCTATTTCCACAGAGACAACAGAAATATCCCAGATGCAGAGAACAGGGACTATATTCATATTACAAAATATATTAGTTTCTCTCCCCCTGTCCCTGCTGAGGTCACAAATGAAACAAAACAGAAACCAAACCAAGCCACAGCCCACCAACATGAAAACAAAATGCTCTTTGGACCAAGAATAAGTGAAACTGGCTCAGAATAATAATATTAATAAAAACACCTGCACTGAACCGAGACGGAACCCATCGATACGAGGCACCTGATGGAAACACAATGTTCCAGCCAAAGGAAAACTCTCTCAGACCCACGAGGCAGCAAGATGTCGACTGTGGAACACACTTTGGGATTCTTAAGCATAGCTTGAGGTTATTATTGTCCCCTTCGTTTTGTGGTTTGTGGACTGTTCCGGCCTCTCAAATGTCACATGCTGCCTAGTGGCCCTGAGCAGAGAAGAAAGTTGGTCCTGCCTCAGGCCAGGAAGTCTAACATGATTATGCATGGATCCTCGTCTTCAAGGGGAGCGGTCCATCCTCCCCAGACTCCCAGTGTGTGTGTGTGTGTGTGTGTGTGTGCGCGCGCGCGTGCGTGTGTATGTGTGCAGGGTATGAGTGCGAGGGGAGTCCACTAGGAGAACATTTTGAGCCAAGGTGGTGCTGACAGGGCCAGGCCTCAGCCACAGAGGGGGCATCTCTCTCAGGACACAGTTGCCCAGCCCCCGAGAGCCTCACCAGTCAGGGGAAGGGGCCTCGCAGAGAAGTGATGTGGGTTTTCCAGGGGCTCGGCATGCCCCATGGGTGCTGGGGAGGAGGGGAGGGTGTGACCGTGTATGTACCTGTGTGTGACATAGAGAGACGCAGAGAGCACCCACTGGTGTTTAAATCACCATTGGTAACCTTGGGAAAACCTGGGGATGCTGCGGATGCCCCAGGAACCGCCAAGCTCCCTGCCACACGATGATATCCCTGTCCGAGGCAGTCCCCCTTCTGTCCTTGAGTGAGAAGGCTCCTACCAGAAAACACAATTATGTTGAAACTAAAACTCGCTATGGAAGAGGCATAAGGTTGGCTCAGAAATTCTGGTGGAAATAATGTATGGTGCCCCAAGTACATGGTGGGCAGGGCATATCCTTAAAGACAGTGGCTGGTTCTCCCGTCACTACCATATTCCCGTAAACTGACTCGAGGACAGCAAAGATCAGCGATTGGATTGTAGGCACTGCTCAATCAGCTTCTTCGCTGCCCCTAGGAGCTCCTTCTAAGAGGTGTGCACCTCTTAAGAGAGGCTTCCCCCTCGGGCACTGACAGCCTTCCTTAGGACCCCGAAGGGCCCCGTAGGATGGTCCAGGGCAGACACCAGGTGGCTACTGGCTGCTCTCCATCCTCAAGGGAGGGCATACAGAACTTCCCTGGTGTAAAAAAAGAAAACAACGCAAACTGGAGAGAGACAGAGAGCCAAGAGATCTCTGTGGACTTTTTCCATCCTGTGTAAAACCGAATGCTGGGCGTGAGAGGGAAATGTCTCAGCGGGCACACAGATGCAGCACGAGAAACACAACCACGAGTGAGGAGAGTCCTCCATGCATGCCGCCCGGCAGGCGGGCCTCAGATGTAGACGGGCTGCTCCTGGGCCGTGAGCAGTCTGTACATGGCGGCCGGCATCGTCTTCATGTGGATCTGAGGGCAGACACGCACGTTAGCGGGCGCTGGGGCTCGGGGGCCACTGTGGGCACCGTGTGGGCTTCTCACCGCTCCTGCCTCCTCCCTCCCCTGGTAAGTTAAGGCCGCCACAGCAAACCAGCCCTAGACCTCTCATTATGACCTCAGACGAGCCCCTACTCGGAAGCTGCCTCTGGAGGCCTGTTCTGTTGATCAGACTCGAATCTAAGACTTAAATCTTCCAGACACATTTGGTGAGGTTAGCTGGGAAAAATGGAGAGAACGTGGGCAGCGATGGAGAGGAGCCACGTGAATCTGAGAGCTGCAAAGAGCAGGTGAGCAAATCATGGCGGAAGAGAAGGCTCGAGGTGACCTGATCTTATTTCGAGGTGTTGCTCTCAGACACTGGGTTTAAACTCCGGTCCGAGACAGACTGTGTTGGTTGTTGAGTGTTTAGGATTGAGAAGGGCACTTCCCAGAAGGCCTGTTCATGGCCTGGGTGAGCAGGAGGCGAGGGGCACCAGAGGACCCCCCCAGCTCGGACCCCACTCCTACCTCCCCCACAGCGTTGGAGAGGATGTGGACGATCTTCTCGTGCGGGGTGGCGACCACGCTCTGTCCGTTGATCTCAATGATCCGATGTCCCACGCGGACGCCTCCTCGCTCAGCTATTCCCCCTCGCATGAGGCTGCAGATCTGTCAGGGTCAAAGGCCAAGTTAGCCCTCACGGACAGCACCACACGTCAGGGAACTGAGTGGGGAGAGATGACTATCTTTTCTGGAACCCTCTGCCCCCAGCATTCTCCTCTCTAACAAGCTGCCAGGGTTTGGTTTGGGGCATCTGTTTCTTTTCACAAGAAAAAGGGTTCCGTAGGCCCCATGGCCACCTTGGTCACACACTTTGCACAGGGAACGCAGCACATCACTGGATCCACGTCACACTGAATTCTGAGCACTTTTCTTCCCAGCTGAGTCTTGGTAAAAGAGCTGTTTGGGCCTGTCACGGAGTTGTGATTGTTTTCAAACTGTCAGCCTGTGTAGCACAGGTGGGTATTATTCCCCACAATCACCCCTGGGACTTGAACATTGAGCTGTATAAGGCTAGCAACCTGCTTTTAGGGTCACAGTTACAGGAGCCGGAGTGGGGCTGGAACCCCATTTTGTGTTCCAAAGTGTAGCCAGCCGGACGGAGATGCTCCTTTTGGCACTCCCAACTCAGCAGCCCTTGTGCAAACTCCCTTCTCACAGAAATGACAAGGTGGCTGGTTTCTGTCCCGGCACAGCCAGGCACTGCGCGGGCAGAGGGTGCAGCTGGTGCAATCAGCCCTCCGGGGCCTGGCACTGCGGATAGAGCCACCCCCACTTCACACACAAAGCAACCGGAAATTTCCCAAAGGAAAGTGTTTTGAATTTATGAAGTCGGCTTTTCCCTGCAGACTGTGCACATGCAGAATGCGAGCTCATGTGACAACAGGCTCCCTGTGTCGTGAGCGTGGGGACCCTGCAGCCCCTCGGGTATCTGGGGTGAGGACGTTCCTCAGGCGCTTGCCACACTTCAGATAAAGCCGAGGGCCCCACCTCTGCGTATAACAACTGTCTGTTCATCTTTGAACTTTTGATACTAGTCACACATCTACAGAGCAAACAAGGAAGTACAAACAGACAGAAACAGGATGTCTGACCAACACCAGCGGGAGGAAGCCTGGCTTCTCTCCTGAGAGGCAGATGAGGCCCTCAGGGACAGGGAGCAGATGAAGCCGGCTGGATGTTGCAACTCCCACTGGGAATGCCAAGGGGATTTCTAAACCCTTAAATGTACTTGGAATAAAATTTTAATTACCCACAACTCTTAAGTGAAATTTGAGGAGGAAAAAGAATAGGGTTCTTTTATCTGAAAAGTGAATGCAAAGAGAGGGAGGGCACACCCAGTATCTGTAAAATCGAGAAGGTTCCAGACAGAGAACAGATTTGTCACCAAAGTCCGGAATTGCTGAGTCCAGAACAAGGCAAACTGGGACAAAGAGGGAGCAGCACTGAGTATGGAGTTTCTGTCTGGGATGAAGAAAACATTCTGGAAAGGGAGAGTGGTGATGATCACCCCACTTTGTGAAAATACTTAATGCTACTGAATTGTATGCTTAAAAATGGTTAAGTTAAGGTAAATTTCATGTTGTGTACAATTTACGACAATAAAGAAAAAAAGGAAGTATTATTTTTATTATTTTTTTTGAGGAAGATTAGTCCTGAGCTAACATCTGCTGCCAATCCTCCTCTTTTTGCCGAGGAAGACTGGCCCTGAGCCAACATCCGTGACCACCTTCCTCTACTTTATATGTGGGACGCCTGTCACAGCATGGCTTGCCAAGCAGTGCCATGTCCACACCTGGGATCCGAACTGGTGAACCCCGGGCCGCTGAAGAGGAACGTGTGAACTTAACCGCTGCACCACCAGGCTGGCCCCGGAAGTATTATTTTAAGGTAGACATCCAAGTGACGAAAATACTCTTTATACCCAAAGTGCCAATTCAGGTTAAAAAGGCAAAGCACAGGTCACTCAGGCAGAACAGCCAGGAGGGCGGGGGTCTCAGCCTGGGCTGTGCTGGAGTCACTGGGGAGCTTTGCAGGGCTCCCGGGTGCAGCCAGGGTGGAGAGAGGGCAGCAGTGCCCCAGGCCAGAGGGGAAGGAAGCCCTTGGTGGTACATCCCAAACTCTCTCAAGTTGGCGGCCAGGAGGGCCACCCTGCACCATCACAAAGAGACACCACAGTCCTAGGAAGGGAAGGGCCTTTGTTTTCTTACATGGAAAGGCACAGAGTTCTCTGTCCACGGAGGACGTGGAGCCTGCCTTTACCCAGTCATCCTTTTCCTTGCTGGATTCTTTCGGGGAACTGACCAGATTAAAAAAAATAAAAATGGGGGCACAGCAGTTAAGTTCACATGTTCTTCTTTAGCGGCCTGGGGTTCGCTGGTTCGGATCCCGGGTGTGGACATGGCACTGCTTGGCACGCCATGCTGTGGCAGTCGTCCCACATATAAAGTAGAGGAAGGTGGGCATGGATGTTAGCTCAGGGCCAGTCTTCCTCAGGAAAAAAGAGGAGGATCGGCTTCAGATGCTAGCTCAGGGCTAATCTTCCTCAAAATAAATAAACAAATAAAAACAAAAACCCAAATCCCAAACCATAGTTTGTCAGACTTTTGGAAAAGGGTGTGGAGTTATACTTACAATTCCGTTCTGGACGCTGAAACCCAGCTGGTAGCGAAGGTCTGGTCTCCTGATCAACACGGTGGTCACCGGAGGACACCGCACGATGTTCAGCTTTACCCGGGACTGATTCTTCAAGCCCTGCAACGTGGATAAAGTGCAGTGCGTATGGCACCACCGAGGCGAACAGAAGAGAGAAAAGCTGACAGCATCGAAGGCAAGAGAGGCCCTGTGAAGTCCCCGCCACACACAGGCCAACGGGACAATCCACTGCTGGGGAGAGAACCGCCTGTTTACACAGAGCCCTTCATCCCATCTGGAGACCCGTTTCTGTGGGCAGTGTCTGCACTTGGGGAAACAGGCTGTGTTCAAGGGATCTGAGAAAAGTGGTCGTCTGTGAAACTAAGACGAAAACTGCCACCTGTGCTTTTAGGCTTGAAAGATGAAGGATGCACAAGCTCTCTCCTGGTCGGGAGAGACAAGAGGGAAACAGACTTTTTCTCTGAAAGGCAAACTCTAGCCATTCCTCCTCTTCCAACGAAGGACATCTGACGCACAGCAGCTGAGTCAACCCGTCAGGGCTCATTTTCTCTCGTCTCTGCTGCTCCTGCTCCCCCTTCTCTCTGCCCGTTAGAGATGTTATCAACATTCCTACAAGCACCTGGGGAGAAGCAGGGAGCAGAGGCAGGAATCCATCAGTGAAGGGGTGTAGGATGGGTGCTGGTGCAGAGGGACATGAGATGTTTCACAATCCTTGGAAACACGCCCCTCCCTCTAAATCAGAATGGAGTGGAGAGAGTCAGTCTTTAAAGGGGCAAAGGGGACTCCGTCTCATTTCAGAGTCTGTTTAGAGAGCTTCCTGTACCCGACTCTGTTAAGCTGAGCTCAGGCCTGTACTCCTGTCTGCTGAGCACATGCACAGCAGTGACCAGAGCCCTGGGCTGCTCAGGAGCACCCTAAAGCATCTTCACAACGCTGGGCCTTCCCTCCCTCCCTCCCTCCCTCCCTCCCTCCCTCCCTCCAGCAGGGGAAGGTTTTGCTCCTGCAGTCCTACCACCGACATGTGAGCTTCACCCTAAGAGGGTGCCAATCAGTGATTCAGCCCTGAATCAACATCCATCTCCCAGGTCCCCCTGAGATGGCCTGTTCTGCCTCAGTGAAGTCCTGACTGCTGGTGGTCCAGACCATAGTAGGTGCTTTCCAACCCGTTTCAAGTCTCAAGCAAAAAGAGAAAGATTGGCAACAGATATTAGCTCAGAGACAATCTTCCTCACCAAAAAAAAGAAAAGAAAAAAGAAAAAGTCATGTCACACAGAGACAAAGATGTTCCTCATGTACCCTGGGGGAAGCAGACCACACAGCTTGTGGCTGGAGGCCCGGCTGCCCCAGGCCCTACTCTGAGAGTGGGGGCGAGGGAGATCTCAGCACTCCTTCGGGAAACGCCTGCCCCACTGGACTCCATTCTAGCAAGGCCAGCTGATTGGGAAACAGCTCAAGGTCAGCTACAGTCCCCCTCCTCCAAAGGGTCAGAGGTGAGGGGGAGAAGCTGTTTCTGAAAGACGGTACTGTGGGGTGGGTGGGCAACCTCTCCTCCGGGAGAGAGCAGCCACGAGAGGAGGCACAGGTGTTCAGGAAAAGGTGGGCTCTATTCCACCCAATACCAGGGACTCACGGTATCCCCTGGAGACAGCACCCCATCAATTTGCGAATGGGTCTGGTGTGTGCCCTTGACGGGTGAAGTGGGAAGAGGCCTGGGAGAACAATGACAAATCCATTTCAGTCTGAAAGGTGATCACCTCTTGTTCTATAAATAGAATCTGCAAATTCCACAGCTGCCGCATCAGTTCTTGACCAGTCTACAAACTCTCTCTCCGTGGGAGGTCAGGATTTCTATTTCACATTTTGTAGATGCGGACACAGACCCCGACTTGAAAGCTGCCTTTTCCAAGGCTCTGTGGGGTCAGGACTGGGCTGATGGATCCCCTGCTCGGGCCTCTGCCTTCCTCACAAGGCACCTTGCCAAGCAGAGAGGTGAAACTAGTGATAGATGACTTCAGTGCCAACAGAATTTGTGGCAAGAGTGCACCCTGCCTCAGTGGCAGAAGTGACCCACACGCCTTTTGTTTCTAAGTGACGCTTTAGATTGACGGATGGAGAGGGGCTTTTTCTGCCTCTGGTTGTCTGGCTTTATTATGCTTGGCCAATAGGTATATACCAGTGGTTCTCAAAGAGGGGACCCCACACCAGCAGCATCAGCATCACCTGACCCTTTTTGTGAGAAATGCAGAGTCTGGGATCCACCCAGACCTACTGAGTCAGAAACTAGAGGCTTGGGACCCAACAATCTGTGTGTTCACAAGTCTTCCTGGTGATACACACTCAATTTTGGGAACTGGTGTAGACTACCACTGCAGAACAATGAACCCACCTGCACCCAGGTGACAATTTCTCCAAGGGATGATCAAAGCCAAAGATGTCAATTTACTACTCACACCCGTGGCCAGTGTGCTCCATGAGAGCAAGAGCTAGCAACATTAGGGTGGTGGTGACGGCTTGTGGGAGAGTTGGGTGGCCTGATGCCCCGTCAGCCATCTCCATGTCTGTACTGTGAGTGGGTGCCTCTAAGACGACTGTCCATCAAAACCCATCCTGACGATGAAACGGCCGAACCACCTGTCATTGAACACCGACTCTTGCCAGGCACGGACCTGGAGAGTGACAGGAGCCATCTCCTTTAACCTCCTTGAGAAACTGGCAGCTACAGTTAAGCCCGTTTTATAGAAGAGGAAGGAACCTGAGGCTCAGAGATACTAAGCAAGGCACCCAAGTTCACCCACAGCAAGCTTCAGTCCCAGGACTGCCTGTATTCAAACCCACAGCACTTTCTCCTACACCATGACCCCCCATATAGACAACGGGAGAGCGTGTGTCACGCATGAGTAAGGCTTGCTCAACAAAGAAGCCAGCCAGAGCAGCTGAAGAATGAACTTGTGCCCCCAAATCTTTTATTCTAGCCTTGCATGGGGCCGTGTTTTCAGCTTACCTTCCTACCTGGCGAGAGTTCTATGGGGTTCCTGGCCCCGGGCCTCCCTGCTGCCTTTGATCAATTCCAGTTTGTCCTCTCAGTGTGTGAAGTTTAAGGGGAATCAATTTAATTTCCCACCTCCAGCGTCTTGGCCGGTTTCCCCGGTGTTCTGAATTGCTGTTTTCTGCAGGCTTTGAGCCTCCCATTGGCTGTGAATTGGCCTATGGTGACTTGGGGTGCACACACAGGCAGCCGTTACCAGTGTCTCTCTGTGGTTTCTGGAAACCTCTGGGAAACTTCTCTGGTTCAAGAAATGATGTTTTCAAAGTGGGGCAATAGAACGAGCGGAGGGCGATTCTCCCTGGGGAGAGAGAAGTCTGCAGGGGCTCCTGGCCTTCCGCACAACAGTAGGTCCCATCGTCCACGCGGACAGGGGGCGCTCTGGCTTTCTGCTCCAACAGCGGGGCCAGCAGGACTTGGTGAAGAAGACTCTGCTGCATCTGGGACTCAGGGCCAGCCCGGTGGCGCAGTGGTTAGGTTCACACATCCTGCTTCGGTGGCCCGGGGTTTGCTGGTTTGGATCCCCAGTGTGGACCTATGCACTGCTTATCAAGCCATGCTGTGGTAGACATCCCACATATAAAGTAGAGGAAGATGGGTACGGATGTTAGCTCAGGGCCAGTCTTCCTCAGCAAAAAGAGGAGGATTGGCAGCAGATGTTAGCTCAGAGCTAACCTTCCTCAAAAAAAAAAAAAAAAAAGACCCGGGCTCAAGTTGTGTCTCTGTCACTGTAGGCCATGGCGCCTTAGACACTCTGCTCTACCCTTCTTCTCCCTCAGTGTCCTCATTATCAAAACAAATGGTGACACCCACTAAGGTCCCTTCCAGTTCTAATTTCTATGATTTCACCCCTTTTCATGCTTTGCTTTCTTTCCTAAATGTATTTGCTCACAACACCACATCATAACCATTATGTTTAAAAACATCTATTTCTAAAATTGAAAACAGGCTTCCTTTGGTGGGGGGACTGCTCAGACATCATTCATGAATATATTTCTCTCTTCCTTGAGTGCTGCTTCCTTCCCATTCACTTAATCACTGAGTATTTATTGATCACTTTGCAACATGCCAGGAAATGTGTTAGGCACTTGGAGTCAGTGGAGCTGGGCCTCCAGGAGCTGAGGCGAGCTGTGGGGCACACAGCAGGACAGCCAGAGGGCGTGAGTCCCTTCACCTCCCTCTTGCCACAATCACACACCATGAGACCAGGAATTTGTGGGAAATGAGTGAAGGATGCTGAAAACGAGGAGCATGTTGTTACAATCACAGCCCTTCAGACAAAGCCATCTGCTTTCAATGTTTATACCTACTGACCACTGGGATGGTTCCGGTATGTTTGTGAGGTACAGGAAAACCTTACATGCAGACCAAAAAGCAAGAAAGTGGCCCTATTTTCTCAATGTTACCTAAAGAGTTCACATTGCTCTAGTGGGTTCTTCCCTTTTGTGTGAATTGATTTAAGATGCCTGATTTGTCCCTTGGTGAAAGAATTTCTAGATTGTGGAAATGTGTTGCAAGATGAGGCTTAGGGAGAAGGCAATTTGAAGTAACTATGCATTTGCTCTGCTGTTCCTAATCAATGCTTCAAGTTGGGTCCCGTTAACTTAGATTTCTGAGCTACCATTTTATTGGAGGTGCCAATTAAATAAGTGGTCATTCTGTCCCCATGACAACCGTGGAATGGTGCAGCCAATTCAGAAATATGGTGGGAGAGGAAGGGTAGGGAAGAGAGGAGGGGGGGAGAGAAGTTGGAATGCTCTCTATAGCAACAGGAAAGCAGAACCATGATGATCCCATGGAAGGAAGCAGAAGTGATGCTCTAGTTTAAAAAAGAAAAAAACTGGAGGGCAGGACCATGGAGGCAATGGCACGAACAGCAGAAAGCTAACATGCTTTGCCTACCAACACAGTCATGCGTTGCTTAACGACAGGCACACGTTCTGAGAAATGCATCATTAGGTGATTTCGTGGTTGTGGGAGCATCATGGCGTGTACTCACACAAACCTAGATGGTATAGCCTGCTGCACACCTAGGCTATGTGGTACTGATCTTATGGGACCACCATCGTAGATGTGGTCTGTTGTTGACTGAAACATCATTAGGTGGCACATGCTTTAGGAATAATGAAGGGCAAATAAGAGCTGGGGAAGAAGGCAATTAAAATAATACCTATAATTCTATTCTAGAAATGTCTTCTATTTCCCATAACTAGGGCGGAAAAGTCAACACATATTAAAGTGGCAAGATGCAGAATCTATCACTTTAGACTGTTGATCCTCAAGGCACAGCTGAAGACTCAGGATGTCATCATCCAGGAGTTTGCTGAAAATGCAGACCCAGCCCAGACCTGCTGAATCAGAACCTGCATTTAACAAGACTCCCGGACGATTGAAATAAAAGTTTGCAAAGCACTGATCCACCAGGACGAGAGCTGCCTGTTAAACGCATTGCAGGGAGCACAGACACAACACCGAAACTAGCAATACTAATGCAAAGCCTTGAAGAAGCCCAGAACCTTCCCCAGCAGTGGGCCAAGGGGGTGGGGGGAGGGCAGTGTGAGCATCTGCTCAGGTGTACGCAAAAAGGGTGTGTTGTCCACAGAATTTAAAAACAACAGTACAACTCACTGAAAGTCTTCATTTGGTACTGGCAAGTCCAGCTGAAATCAGTGGTGGAATTCTCCTCGCGGCCGAGGAGGACCACGGGGTGGCCAGTCACATCTTTTCATTTGACAAGGCCGTGCTTCCCTCAGCCCTGAGGAAGTGCAGCTGTGTCCTAATTGGGGCCTGCCCTGCTAAGCACTTCTCTGCTGAGGGCCGCCACAAAGGCACTGTTTTTCTTACGCACCATCTTCATCAGTTACATCTCTTTCATCACTATGTGGCCTTTTAACTTTCTGATTCCATAGACACTCCATTTAGAGACATCAAAGGTCAGCTACTTGCTCAAACAAACCTTTTCCTCTCAGGAAATTGCTCAGACGGTGCTCTGAGCAAGCTGTTTCCACCTTGACGTGTGAGCCATCGGACAGAAGCTGAGTCCCGTGTGGCACCAGGGGAAGTCAGTGCTGCCCCCCTGGCTCTCACAGCCTCGCTCATCTCCTCTGCAGGGGCAGGGAGGGGTGGAGAGGGGGATCTGGACTCGTTTGTCTGCTGGGGGGTCCTGGGCAAGTCAGCTACGCCTCCGGAGCCTCTGCTGACTCATCTGTGAGCCAGGCGTTTGCCGTCCCCTCCCTCACGGGCTGTCTGTCGTGAGCAGGGAGGTGACTCAGATCTGGCAGGTGTGTAATGACCCCCGGCATGCAGTAACTTGCTCACTGGTGTGAAAGCTCATCTGTGAACCTGGGTAAGTGGGAGTGAGATGCCAGCCATGGATGGGTCCTGCCTCCCCACCCTTGGCCTCTCCACCTTATCACACCACCAGATCAGCCTTCCCAGGCCAGGCTCAGACCTCTCTCTCCTGCCACAAAGCCAGCCCAGTGCCCACCAATTTAAGCAGGAACTCCTGAAGGCTCCCTTCCTCTCTGCCACCCACCTACGCCCTCTTCCTCCTTCAAGGTGCACCTTCAAGACAGGATAAGACGCTGCACCCTCTAAATGCTCACAGCATTTCATCTCTATGTTGCCATTAGGGCCCACTGGACTCTTTCAATGATAAATTATCCTCCACGTGCATACTGTCATTCTGGCTTCCCCACAGTTCAGCTCAGCACCTAACGGAGGCCCAATTAAACATGTGTGCATGAATATGCATGTTCCAAGTAGATTCTTTTATCTTTAATGCGTATTAAGCAAGAAGTAGAATTTAAGTGTAAGATGTAATAAAAAGAAATTAAATGAGGCCAGAGAAGACTATTTCTTTCTGGGTGTGATTATCTTACGAGGAATTAGAATCTAATCCATTTCATTAAAAACAAAGAGGGACCCATCTCTGTATCCTATACACACATTCACCTTGACCTCCCACCCCATGACACCCTTGGCCAAGGATGTTGGCTTTTGCGATTTTCTTTTGCTTAGAATAACTATTAGATGAACTCTCTCTTTCTCTCTTGCAGCTACATTCTAGCTAACAGGCTTTCAGGAAACCCCGAGGGATCACGGAAAGTCGTTGGATCCCAGTGTGCCTGTGGGACCACAGTGCTGGGTACAGAGCTGGCGAGGTCGACAGATGCTGCAGTGGAGGAAAAATACTCTTGTTCCCACTGGCCATGCCATCAGCAGGTTCCAATGTGCTTCAAAGACTTACACGGATGCTTCATTTCTAGGATGAAAATCCAATTTCTTCCCCTCAAATATTCACATTTAATTTTCCTTTAAGTAGCTCTTCTTAGCCTTATGCAATAGCATCAGCTCAGGTTGAACAAGAAGTAATTACGTTCAGGGGTGAGAATGAGAACACAGACTTCACCAGAATCTCCTTCTTACAGTACCTAGCACGTGTGGATCACATTACACAGGTTCTGGGGGAAGATAAACGTACCTGGATCACAGCCATGGTCCCTGGGAAGGAAAAGGTGTCCTCAAACGTGAAGCGTTTCCATGATTCTTAACAGGGATGGCAAGTCACCTCAAGTACATCTAGCTGGCTATAAGTGAATGTCTGGATTACTGAGCAGAGGAAAATTCTGTTGGGGCTGAGTCTGGGCTCGGTGGGAGAGAGCGCTGTGATTGACAAGTGATGCCTGTGGTTGGCACGGTATTAGAAAGCAGTGTTTATTACGTGAGCCAAATATCCCATGCCTGATCTAAAAACCATTTCAGGGAGGAATCTGTAAATAGTGACTCGATGGTGAACAACCTGAGTGGAAGTCCATGCCTTTTGTGTTTGTGTCCCCCTTAGTGCCTGACACTCAGAACACATTCGTAAATACTAATGACTGGATTGCAGTCACACTTCCTGCCATTTCAGCTCTACAGTAGAGCTGATTTTCCCCATTTACACACCTTAATGATGCTCTGGCAGGTGGACAGAGGCAGGCCCACCAGGCTGGTGCCATTTATGGACATGATCTGGTCCCCGATGTTCAGTTTCCCAGACTTCTCTGCAGGCCCGCCATGCATCATGTTGGCGATGATCACGGTTGGCAAGATGGATCCCCAGCCAGACTCCACGATCACCACACCTAGGATTTCTCCTTTCTGCTTCTCTATGAAGACCTGGAAGGAGAAACACACTTAGATAGCCTGAATCAGCAACCATCCAGGCTAGCGACAGAAATCAACGCATTTCCCCTCTTCCTGTCTTGACTAAAGAAGACAGACGGGTCCCTGATGACTCCAACCCAAATGAGTCCCGTCTTCTCTGTGCTCCATGGCATTTGGGGTTGTGAGAAAAGATTTCTTATTGATTTAACACAGGCCCCACCCTTTTATAAATTCTTGTTCAACATAAGCAATCTTGCCTTGGCAATACAACCTCAAGGGGCACCAGGGTTTTTTTCTGTAGCCCCAGTGAGCGGGAAAGAGGCTGTGTCAGTAGGAGCTCTGGTGGCGTGTTATGGATTCCAGAAATGGCTTTCGGATTCTGTGCACAGGCTCCCCCATCCCATAGTGCTTCACAGATTCTCTCCAGCTTTTAAGATTCTTGAATTAAAAATAAATAAATATACATTACAGAAACACTTCTCTGTAAGAAAAAAGCTGAGGAAAAACAAAAAAAGATGCTAAAGTTATTGCAACCAAAAGGTTGGAGGTGCAGACAGGAAGAGCATGCCTTGAATATGCGTAATTTTTGTGGCCTTCCTGGCAGGCAGAGAAGACGGAGTTAGTTTTGGCTATCTGCAGCCTGGTCAGGTGTGCGACATCACAGAGGGATAAGACATTTCTTGGGAGCATCTCACAAAAAGTGTATTTATTTATTCATTTTCATAGATACACACATGCTCGAAGGCATACTGTAGCGGTGGCAGTTGGGGCCTGACAAAGTCTCCTTCACGAGTTGTGTCCCCATCCTCTGGCTGCTAGAATGCACAGCTGGTCCCTTCCTGGGGAACTGCCCAATAGAGATAACCCTGTTATGAGTTGAATTATATACCCCCCAAATTCATATGTTGGAGTCTTAACCCCCAGTAGCTCAGAATATGACTTTATTTGGATATAGGGTCTTTTTTTTTTTTTTTTTTAAAGATTTTATTTTTTCCTTTTTCTCCCCAAAAACCCCCCAGTACATAGTTGTATATTCTTCGTTGTGGGTCCTTCTAGTTGTGGCATGTGAGACGCTGCCTCAGCGTGGTCTGATGAGCAGTGCCATGTCCGTGCCCAGGATTCGAACCAACGAAACACTGGGCCGCCTGCAGCGGAGCGCGCGAACTTAACCACTCGGCCACGGGGCCAGCCCCTGGATATAGGGTCTTTACAGGGGCAATCAAGTTACAGTGAGGTCATTGGGTTGGGCCCTAATTCAATATGGCTGGTCTCCCTATAAAAAGGGGGAAATTTGGACACAGACATGCACAGAGGGAAGACAGGGTGAAGATGCAGTGAGAAGACGGCCGTTTACAAGCCAAGGAGAGAGGCCTGGCATAGATCCTCTGTGGCCCTCAGAAGGGACCAACCCTGCTGACATCTTGATCTCTGACTTCTGGACTCCAGAACTGTGAGACAATAAATTTCTGTCATTGAAGCCACCCAGTGTGTGGTATTTCATCACAGCTCCGAACACACATTAGCCCTGTCCAAATTGGTGTCAGTGACTGCATGGCACAGGGAACAAAGCCTGCCAGCTCCCTTGGCCCAACGTGGAACAAGTCTGTCCTGCGATCTGTGACTCAGAGCTTCTCTCTGGCTCAGAATGAAGCTCATCTCCAGCGAGGCCACATTCCTCCTCAGCATCCCCATCATCCTGCTGCCTCCACTCGCTCTTTCCTGAGGGCACACTCCCCAAAAATCCCTTGAACAAGAGTCCTTGTCTCAGGCTCTGCTTCTAGGGAACCTAAGAGACCTAACACACATCAGGGGATAAAAAGATCACTTTCTCAGGAAGGTTCTTTTCTCCTGTTAAAGTCCCAGCCCTTCAGCTGGACTTTCAGGCCCTCCAGTTCCGACCCAAACCCCACACCTCTTCATGCCCTCTCCCACACACATGCCCTGCTCCAGCCACGCTGCCTCATTCCTGGCTCCCCAGACAAGTCCTGAGCTTTCTGATCTTCATGCTCCATTATTTGGCCCAGCCCTCTGCATGCTCCTACACTTTCCAAAAAATATCCAACCTCTAGATAGCTCAGATGGCCGTTTCCCTTCAGATGCTCCTGCAGAGCTCGGTCTGAAGCAACGGGGCCATTTCTGGAGGAGCATAGCATATATCATTGGAAACCCCAGTTCGGCTCCATTCTGCCAGGCACAGTTGTCTGACTAGTGCTTGTGCTCAGCACCATCATCTAACTTTTCTTTGGCACCCTTTCCTAGACTGTGAGCTTTGTAAGGGCAATGCTCAGGTCCTGTCCGCCTCTGGATCTCACCCACATCTTAGCCCAGGACTGCTCGGAGCAGAGGATGCTGTGCCTCATGGGCGATGCCCTCCACAGCTGTCTTTAATAATACGGTTTCATGTGTGAGGAGCCAGGGATGGGCCTGAGCCCTTAGCAAGGCCCTGCCCATACCACACTCTTCACCCCCGTCCCGCCCTCCCTTCCACAGCAGGGCTGCCCTGTGCTCCCTGGGGCTCCTGCCAGCGGGCCCAGCCTGGAGGAAAGTACCTACATCTTTGCAGTTTTCCGACTTGGAGAAGTGGATCAGGTCGTCGTTGTACATGTCCTGGGTGTTGAGCAGGTCACTGTACTCCTTCTGGCTGAGATCTTCGGGGTTAATCCCATTTGCCCTGAGGAATTCCTGGTATGCCACGCTAAAGGCCTGCCCAATGGACTGTGCGATCAGCTGGGCCTAGATAGCAGCAGAGAGGGAGGGCGGAGGTCAGCAGGGCAGCTGCTGGTGGACGGCCTGGGCCTCCTCGGGGCTAGGAAGCCTCTGGAATCCGCCAGGCCAGTGGGGCAACCTGGGGCACTAACGCCTGCTGGAGGTCACTTTCAAAATCAGTGGGGACATTTTTGATTATGACAATGATCCTGAGGAAGCTACTAGTATTCAGTGGACAGAAGTCAGAGATGCGGGACTTACTGCCATGCAAAGGACAGTCCTACACAGTGAGTCATTCTACAGCCTGTACAATTTTGAAATATCCCACTGGACGTTCATGCATACACAACACCTGTGTCTAATTATCTGAGTCCGGGACTCAACTCTAATCAATATAAAAACACAAAGACTTTAATTGCACAGCTCTAATACACACTGAACCTTCCAAGAATACAATTATCAGCCTGCACCTTTGCTGTCCTGTGGGCGATTCTCTGTGTGTGTCTATCTATTTACTTATTTCTTATTTAGTCCTCAATTCAAAATGTCAAATAGAAAGAGGTTACAATATTCAGCTGAATACTGTATTCTCATTTCCAGACTTATTAATCAAGAAGGTTTAAGCATCCGATAACTCCATTATTCCTTCTGGAATGGTTGGGCCCAGGCATTTATACAGTGTAGTAAGTATAATTTTATTTTAGCTTGCTTTCCTTTTATTTATCCTTCATGTAACATTTATGGCGTTACTTTATTTTGTGACAAAATTTTCAAAAGAGGAAGTTATATTATCTGTGAATTTCATTTCAGGATAGTAATGGGACATTACAAAATATCTGTTGTGAAAAGGGACTGTTGGGACCAACAGAGTTAAGAACCCCGATCTAGTCCGAACCTGCATTTTCCATGTAAGATTGAGGCCCAGAGACAGAAAGCAACCTGCTCAAGGTCACACAGCTCACAGGATGGGATCTCTCCTTCCATTGTTCTTTCTCCTGCACTGGACTTTGATAATGTTTCCCTGAATTGATTAACCAACACGATGACTCAGATAGCCAGCAGCACTGAGCACTTCTTATGTGCCTGCGCCGCATTAAATGCTATGCAAGGACCTCACATCACGTCTGTGGCTTATCTTCAGTATGACGCGTCCACAAGCCCACACCCCAAGCTCTTAAGGCTAACGGTGTTTCAGAATTTAGAAATCTTCAGATTTTAGAAAGGTAACAGGGTACATATATTATACATAGTGTAATAACCCTTTTAGGGCCTAGGGAAGTGCCCTATAAATGAACACAGTAATATTCCCACAGCAAAATGTGTAAGATCCACTGTGAGCCAGACAAACCTTATAAATTGCCTCACGGCAGTTCAGGGCTCGTTTACCAGTCAACTGACTATGAAAATTCCTTCAGTTTCTCAGGACTCTTTAGACTTTGGAATTGTGGATCTGTCTTACTGTCCCCACTGGACAGATCAGGAAACGGAGTTGAGAGAGGAAGCTGCCCTCCCCCTGGGAAGGGAGTGTGTGGGGGCTGAATCCTGGCAGCCTCTCTGTGAAATTCTAATGGGTGGAAAAACACCAGAAAAAAAGATCTCTGGAGTGACGCTTTCAACACACACACAGTTCTAACCTCTACTCTCATTTCTTTATCTTTCCTAATTTTTGCTAAAAGCAGCCAAATAGTCGCAAAATCAGAACTTTCTGGGTGGCTGGCCGTGGGAAAAGAAACGTTTAACTTTTCTCACTCTGGGAATCTGGTGCCTTCACATGCCACAAGTCACCTCAGGGCCCACCACCCTGTCTTCTGCTATAAGACTGGAAGGGAGTGAGGCATCGCTTCAGGCATCAGAGGCACGTGTGGACAGACGGGCTGAAAAATACATGCTGAGAACACGACCAGTGGACTTGCTGACCATCATTAATGGATGCGTCTGGTGAACGCCCAGCCTGATATTCATACGCTATCCGAGTATCTGCTGGCACCACACAGCAGCCCAACAAGGGAGGCACGACTATTGCACAGGAGCGTCGAGGCCTCACGCTTGCACATGGAGGCAGGATTCATGTCCAGCTCTCCCAGGTCTGGAGCCAATGCTCCTCTTCCATCCTTCCTTCCAAAGCAAAGGGGTAAGATTCCCAGGTTCACTTCTGTCCTAACTCTGGCTTCCCCAGCCTTTCCTTTTATCATCTTCCCCCACCCCCCAGGGACCCCAGGGAACAGAAACCCCTCCTTGGGAGATGCAAGCCCGGTGGAGGTGGCTGAGGGTCATCAGGGATGCTGGTGCCTGGTGAGCAGCGCTAACTCCACCTTTCACTGGCCTGCAGGACACAGGAGGCTTGAGACTCTACATTTGACTCTTCTGGAACTTTCCAAGCACCTTCTAAAACTCATTTTGCCTCAGTTTGCAAGCCTGGCCACAGTCTTAAAGGAACAGCTGGGACAGCAGCCGGGAGAGGTGCTTCAGGCTCTCCGCCTTCTCAGCATCCTTGTCCCTGGGGCTGCTTTCTAGACAACCAGCCCAGGAAAGGATGGCGCAAAAAGTCTAAGCGTCTTGCCATGTCTGTGGCTGCAGCCATGACAGCTCTAGCTCCCCGGAGAAGAGCAGTGTGAGGAAGGCAATTTCCTGCAGCTAGATGAACTCTCTCCTGGAGAAAAATGGCCCCTTTTAAGGAGCCGAGGCTACTACAGGCAATTTTCTTTAAATAGATAAGGGCTCTCTGCTCACTTCACGGAGCCTCTGGCTGGAGGACAAACGAGCACATCAACAGAACTGACATGCCCTCTTGGGGGCTCTGCGGCTCCTGGCCCAGAAGGGAGCTCTCAAGGCCCGCCAAGCTTTAGGAGAAGCTCGAGTGCTCATGCAGCTTGAAGCCTGGTGGCCTCGACAGCACATCCAGGAACAACTGAGGAAGTAGGCCGAACGGGCCCCGCCTCTGCTGTAAACTAATTTTCTCTGCCGACCTTATCACCTGGAGAGATGGGGGTTAGGAATCATTGGCTTTGTGACAGGAGGAGCAGCTGGTTATCATAAGGTTTGGGAGTGGGTAAGGGCAGGGATCCCAAGGTTCCTGTAGCCCACAGGGCAGTCCTGCATAACTGAGAATTGTCTTTCCAAAATGCTCTAGTGACATGTGAGACCTGCTCAGGCCCTCTCAGGTCTGACTGCATTCCCCTCACTCTTCTCATTCTAAACTCTCCAGCGGCTTGGTCTCTGTGCCTTTCCTCAAACCACATCAGCAGGTCCCTGCCTCAGGGCCTTTGCACCTGCTCTCTCCTCACTCTCACTTTATTCAGGTCTCCACTCCAATGTCACCTCCTCAGAGAGGACTTTGTTCGCCCTTCCTGAAATGGCCCCTCCCTCTATCCTCTGACCTAGTTTTATTTTTCCTTATTGAACTCCCCACTACCTAATTTGATATTCAGTATGTTTTTCTATTTCTTTTCTGTCTCCCTACAACCTTCACAACGAATACTCTTCATCTGTTTTGCTAAGCCTTGCATCCCTAGCTCTAGAACGCTGCCTGTCACATAGTAAGTGCTTGATAAATGCTTCATGTGTGACTAATTAGGCTGATTCAGGTTCTAAGAAATAAAGAGAGAGAATAAGGCCACCCAAGGGCAGCCCAAGCTACATGCAGGGAGATCGGGGAGGCCACCCTTACGTCCTCAGACTCGAAGACATGGCAGATCATCTTGTACTGCCTTTTCCCATCCTGGGACGGGTGGGAGGCTTCCACGTTCTCCTGGGAGTTGGAGCGGGGCATCCGCCTGCGGGCCATCAGCACGACGATGTTCCCAATGTCTGCGATGTAGGAAATGGTCCGCAGAGGGTGGTCCATCATTGTCTCCTGGAGGGCGGAAGGGAGAGGATGGCCAGCGCAGCATCGAATGAGCCACGAGAGAGTGTGCCACCCCTCAGCCCAGCCCAGTGTGGTCCCCATGCAGAGGGGCCCCGGGACTCACTGCAAAGACCCTGTTGGCAGATTGACATGCACCCACCCAGGCCTGGGGACAATTCCCTTGGCGAATGGTAACCCAGAGCAGGAAGTGGTCTGCAGTATATGAAAAGAAACGTCAATCATTTCACAACCAGTGGAATCTCTGCTGGAGAAGTTAAAAAAAAACCACAAGAAAAAATCTACATGTGATGGTTGTATTTTGTTTGTGTGTGTGTGTGATTTTAAAATTTCTTAAAACACTAATCTGTACAAGCCCATCAATCATCTAATAAAAAATTTGAGAATTATCAGCAAACAACATCCATGGTTTATCTTTTCCTCTGATCTTTAAGAAAACAGTCATCCCCCCTTCTCCTCCCAGGTAGGCATTGCAGACACCACCTTCTAGCTTGTACGAAAGCCAGCCCCTGGGGACAGCGGCTCTGCAGACATGGGCGCAGTCTCTGAGGGCCCCCCAGGGAAAGGCGGGAGCTGGCTAATACCTGTGTGTCGGCATTCAATACTTTGATTCTCTGGGTAGAAATGAAGAGATCCACCTCTGTCATTGGCTGAGATTCACCTTCAGGAGCCTGAGGAGAAACATACACCACGGGAAAGTTTAATATGTTACTCTGACCTGGATGCCTGGGAGCAAGGTTAGCTCACACACAGAGGCACAGGGACACAGTCACCAGAACGGCAATGCAGACTCCAGGGCTGGACGGCCAAAGCTGAAGGGGCCACACAGAGGATGGACACGTGCATGAGAGTTAGCACCTCCAGGTTAGCGGGGAGAATGCAGGATGCCACCTGCTTCTTCCCCTGCAGAAGCAGTAACTCGCTGCAGCAGATTTGACTTGATGAACAGTGATCATGAATGGCCCTTTCTGCAAGGGCTTCTGAGCCCAACAGATTAAAGGAATAATGGCAAGTGAGTCATATCCCAGGCCGTTGGAGAAGTCACTTAGAGTCTGCACCTGCTCGAGAGATGGGGGAGCACATTTACAGCAGGTGCAAATGAAGTCCTCCTGGCAGTTCTGGTAAGAGAGTCTCCGTGCTCACACACCACCACAGCAACACAGAAGCAGGACCCACTCCTGAAGCCACCCCAGGAAGACAGAGCCCCAGTGCTTCAACATCCCAGGGTAGCTCATAAGCACCTAGAAGCCCCACGACCAAAAAAGCACACCAGTCTGGTTCACTTAGGGTTTAACTCCGCACACGTGTGGTTATTAGCGAGTTTTCTTTTTTGCATCCAGCAATCTGAGAAATCCACAAATCAGACATGACCGTAATTGAACAGACCCGGGTCCCTGCGACATTAATGCTCCTGGACGGTGGGAACTTTCGCACGACTCTACGATTCATTTAGCGTCTCCAATCTGCTCCCTGTCGTTCCTCTGAAGTGAAATGACTAATGAGCAACAGAAAACAGCCACTTTTAGGCAACTGAGTTTTGAGAAACGTTGGCTTATGGGGCGGTTCAAAAAGAAATCTGAACAAAAACTTGCTGGATGCAGAAAACAAAAACACGAAATAAGAAGGCAAAACATAAATAAATGAAAAGAACAGGCAGAACACCAAGCTGATGACGTTATTTGTACTGCACCTTCTTCCTGCTTTTGGCTAATTTCTGGGCCATCTGCTTAGCATGGAACAAACAGAGACAGGAGAACAGTTAGAAGAGAATCTGCAGACTCAAAGTTGAAAAGGGAATCGACAAACTAATATTGATCGTGGTATCAGGCGTTTCTGTGGGAGGAGGACTGACTTAAAAACAATCCCACTCTATGATCAATTTCCTAGTTGAGAATTTAGTTGGTGGCAGGGCAGTAGGAGGAAGAAAATGTATTGAGGTGCTTTTATACTTAATCCCATTGCTGTTTTCAGAGAGTCAAGTTTTGGTTCTGTTGGTTTTCTTTATTGCACGCCTATTTTCTATTTGATTGATTTCGGCCTATATTTGTATCTCCTTCTACTTATCTTTGGGCTTAACTTGCTGATTTTTTTCCAGCTTCTTGAGACGAACTTAAACTATGGATTTTGACACTTTTGTCTTCTCTGATATATTTAAAGCTATGAATCTCCCTCTAAGTACTGCTTAGCTGTATCCCACAAGTTTTGACATGTTGTAATTTAATTATCACTTCATTCAAAGCATTTGTAATTTCCACGGAGACTTCTTCTTTGAAACTTGGATTACTGGAATTGTGTTATTAATTTTAATACATCTGAGGATTTCCTAGTCATCTTTTTGTTATTGATTTCTGAATTAATTCTACTATGGTCAGAGAACATATTCTAATTTCAATTCTTTGAAATTTGATGAGTCTTAGCTGTATGGCCCAGAACATGACTGACTTTGGTGCATGTGTCGTGTGGACTTCCAAAGACACATTTGCAGTTGTTGAGAATAGTGTATCAATGTCAGTGAGGTCAATTATATTGGTTAAGAGTACTGTTCAAATTTACGTACTTGCTAATTTTTTTTGTGTTTGTTCCAACATTTATTGAGAGAAGTATGTTAGAATCTCCAGGTGTTACTGTGTATCTGTCCACGACTCCTTTTGGTTCTGTCAATCTTTGCTTTATCTATTTTATGTCTATGTTATTAGGTGCATATGTATTTAAGATGGTTATGCCTTCCTGTCGAATTGATACTTCTGTTGTTCTCCTTCTTTATCTCTAGTAATACTTCCTGCCTTAAATTTGTGTAATATTAATATAGCCTATCCCTAACTAGAAATGGATGTAATAGTCCCCCTTTTTCTTATAAGTAGAAGATAGCATAAGCGATTAAAGCAGAGACTCCGGGGCCAGGGTGTCTAAAACTGGATCCTGGCTTTGCTACCTAGAGTTGTGTAACTTGGAGCAAGCCACTTAAAGTCTCTGTGCCTCAGTTTCCTCATCCGTAAAATAAGGACAAAAATAGTACCTACCTCATAGGGCTGTTTTGAGGATAAAATAAATATATGCAAAGCTCTTAGAACAGTACCTGGTGCTCTAGAAGCACTATATTTGTGCTTGCTGTTCTATGATTATAATTTATCTCTGTCAGGATGCAATTTCTTGTCTTTTGGTAAGGCTTGCTATATATACACAGATCTCGTACGAATAGTGGTGAGTCAATGGCCAAACCACGAAGGCTGCTGTGGTGATGGGAGTGGGTGGAGAAGGAACTGCTCTCTCACATTCCTTCACCTTCATACTCACCTGGTAGAAAAGATCTTTAGCTGTCAGCAGCGCATCTCTACTTCATTAATAACTAAAATGTGTTGTCTGGACTACCTCATTGTGGAGAAACTGGATGAGTCAGCCACCCGAACACCAAACAGCTCCTCTCTGGTACACCCAGGACACGAGGGCAGCCCCACTCCCACACAGCCACCCCACAGCTCTCACTGGTGGTCATGAGTTCACGGTGAACAGTCTGCTCTGTAAAATCTAAAGGCAGCAACTGCAAGTGTAATCTTAACTGCTGAGCGTGACAGAGGAAGCATTTCCACCCCTGAGGAGTGGCCCTGGGTTGATGCTACGCCACACCACACACATGCCAGTGCGGACTCCGAGAGCCCTGCTGGGGCACGTTCCAACCTGTGTCAGTTATAACCCTCATGATAAATGACTGCTGTGAGATCCTAATGCTGTTTGTTTTCTACCACTTCCCCTGAAATGATATGACAGTAATGTAAGAATTCCCATTATTTTTGATACCCAAACCTAAAAGCTATTGGTCAAAATTCTTCACTCTAGGAACGAGATATTTGAAAGGGCCCTTTCAAAGGAAAATAAGTCTGCCACCAATGGAATGCCCAAATTCTATTTTTTACTGGAATGAGTGATAAGGAAAAGGATCCAAAAGGCAAACTGAGTTTCATGAAAGGATTCTGAAATGACGTTTATGAAGTTAAAAATATTTTATGCACTTTGAGTAATACCATCTTTAAATCATCGATGATATTCAAGTGCCCTGAAACAAAGTAGAATTAAAAACTTAGACATAACATTGGAAATGATGAGGGGGTTAGAGGCAGAACGAGAAACTGGAGCAGCAGAGAAGTCCAAGAGAAGCAGAAGGCCAGCACGCGAGGAATGACAACATCCATTCAAGTCCTCGTGTTTCACAGGATCAGTGATGGCTCACCACCCAGCGGGCTGTGGTGCAAAGGACGTAAACTGTGGCAGTGTCCACCCAATCACTCAATCCACAATGTGTATTGAGTGTTACTGTTGTTAAGACCCTGTAGGTTAGTCGTGCTGGTCATTCTCCCAACTGTTCTAGCTTTTCTTCCACAGCTCACATTTATTGAGCACTTGCTTTGTGTCAGTATCCTAAGCATGTTTACGTGTATCAATGTAAAAGCTTAGAGTAACCCTATGAGGCAGGCACTACATTATTGTCATCTTTCAAAAGTGGAAACTGAAGCACAGAGAGGCTAATTAACTTGCCCAAGTTCACATAGTGCTTAAGTGGCAGAATAGAGATTCCAACCCTGGAAATCTCACTCTGTACTCCAAACTGCTAGTTGTGTAAGCTGGGCAAGTTTCTCATCTATAAAATTCTCAGATTGTCTGTAAAATGGGGTTAATAATACCTACCTTATAGGATTCCCCACCCCCTTCATTTTGAGGAGTAAAGGAGATAACGTACATGAAGGGTCTGCTCTAAGTGTCGGTATCCTCTTTATTGACCACAGACTTCTTCAAGTCACATGGGAAAGTACATGGCTTAAGGCTACAATAATAGAAATTTGAATTCTACAATTAACTCATAATTTTTACTTTTAAAGAAAATCATAAAAGAATGGAAAAAGCTGATTTAGGGGGATAGGCTAGTAAAGACAGATATAAGAATATTTGATAATGAAGGTTCCTTACAAAAATGCATGGACCTGAAAATATCAAAACACCATTTGTGAGCTAATTACACAAACTCCCCAAATGTAGAAAGAATGGAGACATAGAGTGTGTGTGGACAGGAAGCAGTTTCTACGGCTCCAATGGGAGCCAGGAGGTCACTCTCCCTTCTGGCTGAATAGCAGAGAAGGAGGCGGGAACGAGGGTGGAACGAAGCACTGAGATGTGGAGGAGAAAGAGGAAGACAAGTGAGCTGGCTGCAATGGCTTCCGGTCTGTTCTCCAGATGGGGCCAGGCATGATTTGCACACTCAGGGGAGGGAGGGTCTCCATCTAGGGCACTTTAGACACTGACAGCATGTAGGGCAAAGCTCTCCCAGAAGTTTCTCCCCAAACATGTTCTGGAAAATTCTAGCAACGAGACTTTAACAGGTATCACACAGTGGTACCATATTCTCTCTTCAAATAATTATGGAGCTTCTTGTTAATGTAAATTCAATCTCCTTAGTACAGGACTTCTCAGAGCCTTTGACAGGAAAACATAGGTGGCAAATATCCAAAGAGGAGATTATTTTGCAGCATTTCTTGAGCTGTTTTGCTATCAGTTGGCTTTGCTGGAATGTACAGAGCGCAGCTGGAGAAAAGATGCTCCATCAGGCCGGATGGTCTATCTTCTCTAAGGCAGTGGTTCCCAAACTGTAGTCTACATCAGAATCTCCTGGAGGGCTTAGGGAAACTCAGATTCCTGGGCCCCACCTGCCATGAGTTTCTGACTGGGGTGGGGTCTGAGAATCTGAATTTCTAACAAATTCCCAGTGATGCTGATACGGCTGGTCTGGGGAGCCCACTTCAAGAACCACTGCTGTACTGCATGGGGCCTCCTGCAGGGATATTATTTCTTCGCAAAAATGATGAACAAAGGCAGAAAGGATACGTTGGGGGGGGGGTCCAAAGATGAAAAAAAAAACCTAACAAATGTCTGATGTCTTCTAATTCTGCTGCTGCATTCAGATGCATCTTATTTCTTACATTTTGGTAGATGGAAAAGCCTTTTAATTTCAGATTCCTCAGCCTGCCTTGCATTCTTGTTACCTAAACGCTCTTCTTGGTTCCCTTATCAGACTGCACGCTTCTCAAGGTCAAAGACTGGCTCTTGGTTAATTTTTATCTCCTAAGATGCCCATCACAGGGACCTGCATAGGGACAGTCTGCTCTCTGAGCCAAATTGCTTTGTTTTCTTTTCACATTCAGTAGAAAATGTCTGGCCAAACCACAACTCCAAATTCTTTTCCTTTTGGCAAAAAAAAAAAAAAAATCTGTAAATTCTTTGTTCAGTTAAGAAAATCGTACTTCTCCAAACTCCAAGTGTAAATCCAATAAGCAATATTGAATTCCAGTACACAGCTGCTGCTATGTGAGTGACAAGCAACACAATCAACAAACAGAACAGAAATTAAAGACCGCTTTGAAATGGAAACGGAAGCTTCAGGTTGGGTGTTTGCTGAGAGACAAAGCACCATGAACATCACGGCCACAGCTGGACACACAGTGAGGGAGGCCTCACTCGCATCCACCGGGTCAAACAAACAGTGTAGGCAGAGGAAAGACAGAGGGCACCACGGGGATCCCCATGGGGAGTGAGGGAGGAAGACAGAATCAGAAGGAAAGGAGGAAACTCTCCCCCTTTGTTTTGGTGGGAGCACCAGGGCAGAAATTACTCATCAGTTTGTGGTGAGGATATTGCTAAATGGATTTCTAAATCAATCCAGAGTTTTCTGCCTCCCTTCCTTCCTGGATGGACACTATAAAATCTGCAGCTTCATTCTGCTCTGCATCTCTGGAGTGGCCTAGAATAACTCATTCCTAAAAGGTAAGCCTCTCTTTAGAAAAAATCGTAGTGCCACCTCCCCTAAAGAAAGGAGTCTCCTAGGCACGTGTGGGCAACACAGTTCCCCTTAAGCCCATCCCAACTGATCTGGAAAAACGCTCTGGGTCCCTTGGTTCCCTCAGCAGACGATGAGGTCTCTGTGCACACTCCTGACACAGTAACTTTCAGAAATAACCAGGGGTCTGAACAGAGCCATCTCCACTGACAATTTGAAAAAGTGTCAGGCTGGGTGTAAAGTCGAACAATCTGATGGGCATTGAAATGGATATAAAAGGAACACAAGGCAGAAAATATTTAATGACAGGCAATAGTTCCTTCAGAATCATAGAAGCACAGTGTAAAATGATGCTTATAAATGAAATGTAACCATTTAATTTTACACTCTGTAATGAATTCCTCACACTACAGTAATTTGCTGTAAAAATAAATATATGTTTTCCAGATGCCTCCTCTGCTCTAGGCAGGTCTAAAATGGATTCATGATCAATCCTGCTTGTTCTGATGGACAGAGACATCTAATTTTTTGTTTGAATGAACAGTGGAACTTCTGGATACCAATCCTTCAAAGCTTCAAAATAAAACTTCTGGTTTCTTACCAGGGAGCTGGACTTTAAAAGAAGGGAAAACAACACTCTCAGATTCCACTGTGGAAATCAGAAGATAAAATTCACAGTACACTCGGCACTGGGTGGGATCTGACACCAGGATGCTGGAGCTCCCCTGAGCACTGGTTCGCGTCAGTCAGGTGATGTGTCTGTGCCTGCTCGCCCTCAAGGTCATGGAGTACTACATGTGTCACAGGGCAGTGGAAAGACAGAGGAACTCCACCTGCAGGAGTCAGGGCCACCAGTCAGGAGGCCAATAAACAAGGTGCGCAGAAGGAAACCTGATGACGTTTGAAACCTTGATCGACAGACGCTAGGAACAACTAACCTCAAAGCAATACGCAGTTTCTTTAGTACATCTTTTAGGGGGCACTGCTGCTTTGTTCTGGAGGACTCACCGGAATGGGTCCGGGTTGTGTTCCTTGATGGAGGTGGGGGGACCCTTCGGCTGTGTGCAGGAGAGAAATCTTTGTCCTGTGGCCCCATCCTGGCCATCACAGAGTGTCGAGCATCCCTGGCTCTGCCCACTCATGCCACTAAAAATGCCCCCGACACTGTGGCAACCAAAAGTGCCCCTTGCCCATTTCCAAACACCCCCTTTGGAGGTGGTCCCTGGTTGTCAGACAGCCACCGAATAAGGCTAGGTCCTTGCACTCCCATCGGTACTGGCGAAGCTAATGGCACCATTGACCTGGGAACTAAGTGCTGTGTAGAGAGTTTAGCTGAGCTATTCCGTGGTATTGCTGCCTCGGCATCCATTTTGTTTGGTCAAGCGGCCTGCGGTGACCTTAAATGACACTAGCCCCTCATGCAAACCCATGCCCTAGATAACGGCCCACAGAGTCACAAGCAAATGCAAGTTCCTGATACGACACTTGCAAAAGCCCCTGTGAAAAACAGTCTCCCCTCTCCCAGGCCTTTTCCTTGTGTGCCCCTTGGATAAGACCCCCATGGAGCTCACCCAAATGCCGCTTTTTGGTTTGAATTGACCAATCTGGTCTTAGCCTGGGAACCCCAAAGCTGACCACGCACAGACCCTAATAAAGGCATGTGCCCTAGGTCCTGTCTCCCGCTCTGCCTGCACCCTCCCTTGACCCACCTGGTGGGCCCTCGAGGTGTGCTGGTTCCTCAGGACTTGTGGGTAATAACTTCTCTATTTCAATTTCTTTTTTTTTAAGGATTGGCACCTGGGCTAACAACTGCTGCCAATCTTTTTTTTTTTTTCTGCTTTATTTCCCAACCCCCCTGGCCCACCCCCACCCCCACCCCCCCCCCCCCCCCGGTACATAGTTGTATATCTTAGTTGCAGGTCCCTCTAGTTGTGGGATTCTATTTCAATTTCTCTTGTGGTCTTCTGCTCTCCATCTGGCGCCCTGGGGCTCTACTTAACAAATGCTAACTTCATAAAATCATAACATGCTGTTTGGTGACTGTGGGACATGAGGAGTCCGAACTATGTCCCTAAAGACTTGGTTTTTAAAGTTCTTTGCTGTGTATGAATTAAGACAGGAAGCTTGTTCTTTCATACAGTGTTGTATGTTCTCGTTTTGAACGTTGTGCCCGATAGATTCTAAATTAAGGAGAAGACTGTGGGGAGATCTGGGTGTATTAATGTCACCTCTTTATGATAAGGGGAGACAATGAAAAGGAATTAGGCCAAGCTTGGATGGGGAGCTCAATAGGAACCTGATGCTACCAGCAACCTTACTGAGGCTTAAAGACCCAAAGGTTGTCATGAGTTGTCCTGTTGGGAGATACAAGGTAAGATGCATCTCTGTGGGTAAGGGTGGGACTTCCCTTGGAGGAACTGGACCTCCCCACTGTCAATCATCCTGGAAGAGGCTACTTTTGGGAGAAGACATGAACACCACAGAAGTGGGCCTAGTGGCAGCAGGGCCTCTGAGGCACAGACAAGGTTTGTACATCCTGGATGAAGCGGTAGGGTGGGTGCTTGATACACTGAAGAGGCTCCTGTTAGGAATCTTGACACTGGGGCTGGCCTATGGGTGTTGTGACAATAGCCACCCTTGGTGTGGCTGAAAATACTCTCTGGTTTATGCATCCTAATTCGTAAAATGTCAGCAGTAGTAGTACCGAAAGTCGCAGCATGGGCTCTCTGTACCGTGGATGGTTAAGGGAAGGGTCAGTGCCGAGCCTGGGAGAGCAGTGCCTGTTACAAGTGCAGAGAGGTCAGTGGCTCATGGAGGTCCCAGCGACAGGAGTGATGGAGAACAGCTTGATGAGGAAGCAGTGAGAAGGGACCTGGGGACATTCACACGGCACCCTGGGGAACTGCAGAATGGGCAGCAGGGGTCTCAAAGTCATCACGATTAGGGCATCAATGGAAATATGACCTTGTTTAATATTCACGGTGTGGCAGAGCCTCGGAAGGTGAATAACAGAGGAATCAGCTCCAGTGGGAGGACCGGAAGCACCCCCTCTGCTCTGATGACCTCTGTGAATTGCTGCTCCCTCTTCCCTTAGAGCTCTCAGGCGGCGTCTCACCTCTCAAGGGCTCCTCTGCACTCCTGTGGCACTTAGTGTCCACACCCTTCTCTCCTCCTTGGGTACACCACGCACGTTTGCTGGCCTGATTTGTTTCTCATTGGTGCTGCTGAATTTGAGGGTAAGGATTTCACTTCATAAATCGCTCTTTTCCCTCCCTCTCAAGACCCTGCACAGCCATGCACACATAAATGTTTCAGAAATATCGTTTCCTTGACTAAGGACTCTTAGTACCTGCCTTCGACCTGAGCTTCTTTCTTGTTGCACAGTGCCACACAAACACCTGGACAGAACGGGGGAATGTGTGATCAAGAAGATAAGGAAAAGGGAAGGGTTCCTAGAGGAGGGAATCAATTTTCACCAGTTGAAACTGGATTAACCCAATTCTGGTGAGTGCTAACCTAGCCCAACGTGCTTGATATACCTGGTTCTGGGTTTCCACGGTGATGCTATCCCTGTGGCTCTGGGTGAAAATGGCCTTGTGGTTCCAGAGGGGCTGCCCAGTGATTCTGGGTGCTGAGGGCCCATAGTGGCACTTGAATGACATGCTGGCACTGTAAATGACCCTGAAGTCCTGGGTTTGTCCATGAGTCTAGGTGGTACTGGCATCGTGGTGGAGAATCTGGAGCTCCACGGGATCAAACTGGTTGTGGCTGATTCAAACCAGTTGTGAATGATTTACACTAGATGAAAGTGGTTCTTCCTGGATCAAACAGGCTCACTCCTTTTGAATCTTGATAGAACCGATTCAAACAGGTTATGACTGGCTCAAACTAGTTTGAACTGGCTTAGCCTCACACTGACTTGTTCAGACTAGCCAGGTTAGATTTGATCAACTGGTTCATCTTCCTTGAAGCAAGCCAGTTCAATCCAGCCTGAACAGGATCAACCGGTTTGGAAGCAATGAGACCCAGCTTGGACCACACTGTCACACAGTGTTTAAGTCACTGATCTCCGGCTGTCAGCGGAAACGCAGTGATAAAGCTTTCACATTGGAGACGTAATACTCAAGGTGATGTTCTTCCTCATCATCTCAACTTTATAAAGTTTATGATCGTGTGTACTTTTCCTCAAGAATAGCCACTAAGAACCACCAAAATATATCGTGTTTGTGCTTAAAGACTCCAGCATACATTTTTTCTGTTTGGAACTGTTAGCAGGTATATGGCTAAGTGCGGCCTGCAACACCATCCCGATCCACTCTCCTCTAACCTCGGGACGAGACAGATGAGGCGTGGGGTGACAGCGTGGGATGGCTCGGGTGCCCACACGTGCCCACCGCGCCCCCTCACCTTGATCCTGCTCACTGCTTCCTGGGCCTGCATCATGCGCACGTTTTTGGAGGGAGTTTTGTCTGAGAGCAGCTGGGTGGAGCCAAGGTAATTGGCAGCAAAAATGATCCCATCGATCAAGTCCTCAGGGTCACAAGGTCCGGGAACTGTAATACACAGAGCCGCAGTGGTGAGTGAAGCCGCCCTGGGGTGGGCCCACTGGATCCCTAATCCCAGACCGTGCACCACCCCTCCCCCACTGCTCACCACCGGCACAGGTGGCCCAGTTCCAGGGACCCCTGAGCAGGTGCATCAACCTGCTAGTCTAAGGCATCTCTTTGCATCCACCTTCACTCACCCCTCGTTTTCAAATAGAAGGAACAATTTCTTCTTAATTTACTTCAGCCAGGCCATTTACTGTGAGAAACGATGTGAATATTTATTTAAATATGAAACAAAATTCAGTCATAAAGGATGTTTTTTCCCCCGTTAGACGGTGAGCATTTGGGGGACAAGGACCACGTCACATTCACCTTTGGCTCTCCTGTGTCCAGTCAGTGTCTGCCATCTAGTGAATCTCAAATAAATGTTTGCTGGAGAAATGGTTAGGTGAGCAGAAGGCTGTCTTACTAGAAAATCTCATCTTACAGCAGTTCCTTTACTTGCCACTCATTCATATCTCCGCCTTCCAGGTTATTCGTTATGGGGGAACAAATTTTAGAAATCATAAAAATGGGTATTTGTTTCAGAACATCTGGATTCCCATAATGGCCTGTGACCCCAATGCTGGAGACAGATAACATTACCCCAAAGCCACAACCTTGCTGACTTACAAGCTCGCATGCTCCCAGCCAGCGCCTGCATACAGATCAATTCCAAAGAAAGTCGGAATTTTCTGTTCTCGCTGACCAGCCTTTTAAATCAAATTTTAGTTTTAAATATTTAAAATGGGGGCATCTGATTCTAATCATAATCACCTTGTAAACCATCCTAGAAAGTAAAACATGTCTGGGACTAATATATAACTTTACAACAGATGCACTAAGAAAGCATTTCAATTCTGCAATGAAAACATATATATTTTCTTTGGCTTGAATGCCATACTTGAGGAGACTAAAACATACATTTTTAACCCACTGGTAAGACCTCAGGGTCTTAAATCATACAATTTGAAATGCAAACAATTTGCTTTTTCCTCTCGGAGAGCTGATCTGAAATGGTTTTTATTTTTATCCTTAGACATCAAGCTCATCTTGAGCTTAAATAGCCACTTCCCATGATAAGCTACTCATCAGGGTACAGACTTAAAATAATCTATTCATTTTTCTAAAACCAAGGTGGTGGGTGAAACAAAGAAATGAACAGGGTTTTAAGAAAGGCCTTTGCAAAGCATCTGTGCAGTAATTAAATGAGGAAACCTGTTATTTGTTTCATTCTCGATCTTTCCGACAAAGACTTGGGGACAAACACTGAGTGGTACCCAGCCAACCTGCCTCTGCTATGAACCAGTTATTTACACTCTTTGCAAGAGCCACGTGCTTCCCACCCTGAAACCTTCATAGATGTGAGCAGGATTCAGGTTATTCACAATATCCAGCTTTAGGCGTGCAGCAGGTGCATTAGAAGCACCAGTCTCACTAAAATAAGATATGGGCAAGTTAGGTCCCATGCTACGCTTTCTAAAAAGTAAAAGATGATCAGTCTTTTATGATAAATTCCTGTGACAGATTTACACTGTTACTTAAACATAATCACTTTTGCCAACCAGGTATTGAGAAAAAAGATCTCATCTGGGACAGTAACTTTTAAAAAAACTTTCAATTTATTTTGTGAAAATAATGAATGTTAAAAGAAAAATAAAAATGAGCTATGCACTTCCCTACAGACTTCCAGTATCATATATTCATCTCCGAGTTAGCTCCCATCACCGAAAAGGGTCCCTCTTCAACCGTAATAAGTGTGGATATGCAGACACGTGTAAGAGCAATCCAAATAATATTTAATTGAGTGTACAAATGTCAAGCAGCCAAGAGACAGAAATATTGAACCTAAACAAATTATACATTTGAGCTATGATCTTATGCCATTTATCCTCCAGGGAAATTGTTTATAATCAAATGTCACTGTTGCTGTATCATACCCAGAAAAAAAGCCCTAATTTCATAAGTTCATTTCAGTGTATTTTTAGAAAGGTAAAAACATTAACGTTATGAAGGTCCTAAAGTCAAAGAACTACAGGTTGTCTTTTGGAACGTGTTTTCCCGTTCAGGGATGCCCTTGTGTTGCTCTTCAGGTGAGCAAGCAGACGCATTACAACCTCACACTCATGTTAAGGCGAAGCCTCAACATCTCTAGGCCGGGAAGAACAGATACAAAGAAGAATGGGGTTTCCAAGCTTCTGAAAACTCCCCGAGGTGCTCCTGTGGAATGTTGGAGCTTTGCAAAAATGGTGCAAATAACCTGCGGGTTACTCAAGAAAGAAAGCTGAGTAACAACCAAACCTATGAGCTTGTCCTGGGTTCAGGCCCAAGGGTTCATGAGGGCTCATGAACCCTGGAAATTCATGCCCAGGTGGTGGATCAAACTTAACTGTTCACTCACAGGAGTCAAAGGCCAGACACATACTCAAAGTGATGTCTGGGCCTTCTTTGGCCCCCAGAAAATCCTCCTCCAGGGAAATGACAGTGACTTTACCCAAAAAGGCCTCTGCCATCCTCCCTGGTCATGCCTCCTGATGGGTGGCACTTCTAGTCTTGTGTGAATGAGAAATAGGCGCATTATTTGTGTGGCAAGACTTCAAATTGCGGTGCATGGCTTGGGCTGAGTTTTGGTCCCACTAGGCCTCCTGAGTGGGTGCCCTTATGCAGAGAATAACCCGCACAACCATGTGTGGCAGCCCTGCATAGAATACCAGTTACGGGGAGAACTGGGGAGACAGACTACTGGTTCATGGCCTGGCTTTGCTACTTGCTAACTGTGTGATCTTGGGAAAGTTACTCACTCTCTTGATGCCTCAGTTCTCTCAAGCATAATATGGGGACAATGATAAAACCCACTTCACAAAATCAAGGTGAGGATTCAATTAGTTATTACATGGAAAGTGCTTAGAACAGTACCTGGCAGAGGGTAAGAGTTTGATAAATGTTACTATTACTAGCTCATCCAAGCAAGAGATGGCAATTATTGGGAAGGACTTTTTCTTTTTTTAACCAAGAGGACCAAAATTTCTCCCTTAGTTAAAGTTCATTCCCACTTGAATGGTCCTTGATGGATGTAAGAGGTTGTACAGGAGTACACGGAAGGAGACTTGGGTTTCAGATCCAACGTGACCATTTCTGAGCCAGAAAAAGCCCTCGGCCTCACTCCAGCCTCAGGTTCCCATGGACAGAATCAGCAAAGGCAGGAGGAGGATTGCGGGTGGTTCATAGCTATTGTTCTTTTAGTCCAAGATTCTAAGACTGTTAAGACTGTGAATAAGTGGCCTTTCTTCCCCACTATCGTCTTATGGCTCAGAGCTTCAAATACCCCAAATGCTAAAAGATTCATGAATGACTCAGTGCTCAATATTTCCTTCTCAGCTCTTACCTTCAACGTAGGTTGGGAACGAAGCCAAGCTTTTTCTTGACTGTAATTAAGAGAAAGAGATAACAAAAAGGGCAAAGCATGATGAAAAATGCATTAACACAACCATCCGTGCAACACGAAAAACAAATACATCACCAATGGCAGATATTAACCAGTTGTCAACCGTTTTTGGTTGCAGAAAGTGAAGTGTGCATAAACATATGCATTTATTATTAAAGGTTACCCAAAGCCCAGAACCATCCATTCATATTTCAGATAATCTGAAAATCCTACATTCCACAATCAGAGAGATGCCTGTCAGCTTTAAAAATATCCCACAGACCACAATTTATTATCAGATAGAGCAATAAAAAGGGCATAATTTGTATTCTTAAGATTCTGGGTTTCTAAATGAAAAACTGCCGATTAATAAAAGCACCAACAATATGATTACATGTTGAAATTAAGAATCCCCTTGGAAAATTTTATTTCATTTTGGGTCTTTGCCGCAGTGATCTCTCACTGTGCTAAAAATGTCTGCAAGAGTTTTTCTCTCTCCTTTTCATCTCTAACTGATTTGTTTTAGTTTAAAAATTCCGTTACATAAGTCGTTATTGTGTGTTACCTTATAATAAGAACACAACAAACAAAGGAGTAAACTAAAAACCCTGGAATTTCTTATATTAAATAACACCTCATAGTGAAGGTCAGTCTTCTAACAGTATCCTTGGATGTGGACATAATCAGCTAGGAACCTTCTAGAACCTGACTGGATGGCAGTTTAAATGCTCTCAGAGGAGCAATACTTACCATTTGGTTCCTTTCACAAGCAAATGTCCTAGAGATAACTCTGAGTGGTATAAAGTAGGAAATTCATCTCTGCTTCAACCAATAATAGAATTTGTAGCTGGATGTCTGGGGCAGGGTGATGTGAGCATTGCAAGAGAATGGAGAGCAAATGTGAGAGATAAGAGTCCTTAAAATGGGCAAAAAGTAGGGTTTTCAGGGCTTAGGCTTATCCTCAGAAAGCCTAACAATTTTCATTGCTAAGAATCTACCAGGTGTTGGGTGATCACTTAAAGATGTACCTTTTAGAAAAAGGGTATCTAGTACAGCACAGCTGCTCAGTTAGTTGACTTGCATTGAGGGTATACTCCAGGGTGCCCAGTGGGCTCAAAGAGTGAAGGGCCCCAGATGAGGGCTAGGATGTCATGGGAAACAATTCATATCACAGTACTTTATATAGTATTCTTCATTTGGAAGATGGGAATGGCAAATGGCTGATTAATGAGTTAATACTTGCACAACATTCTAAAAAAATAGTAGTGTTAATTGTCATGTGAAAAATTGGAGGCAGTCAAAGAAACTTAATTTTAAGAATCTAACTCAATTCAGGACAATGACAAGAATTCAACACGAATCACACAATATACCACACAGGGCAACCCATCAGTAAACCTGCTGCTGGTGTGCTCACGGGGATGAAATGGTTCCTCACACCAAAGAGGACGGGTTTCTGGTTTTAGAAAGGATCACCTTTAAAGAAACTGAAGACACAAGTCTACCAGGAATGAAATGTTATTGGCTGCTGATGCATTTATGGAAAAATGCATATCAAGCAAAAGCCAAGATATGCGGATAGGAGGAAAGAGAACTCCAATTTCAACACTGCTTTACATTCATTTTACTTCCTTTTTATCCAGGCCCAGATAAGAAGACAGGCCCAGTTGGGTGCCAACAGCCAAGTCTGTCTAATTCTGATTGGTTTAAAGAATAAAATCCATAACTTCATGGTATGCAGATGGAAGCCTGCTTCTTCATAAGGGCCAAAGATCTTAAAATTATTATTTCCCAACCATCTCCTCATCCTTGCCCTCAGCAGCTAGAGGCCTGGGGTAATGAGGGCTTACTTGGGTTTAAATCAAAATAGTTTAACCTCCAGGTACATCCAAGAAGCCAAATCAGACTTTCCTGGGTTATTAGGATTCTTTCCTCAATGCTAATCTCAAGGACGGTGTCCAGATTTTAGAAGCTACAAAAGAATTACTTTAGTCTATAGCCCTAAAAGCTGCTGTTTTATTTAGAGCCCCAACGGAGGGCATTTGGTACATTACTTATTCTCAATTCATGAGCTCATGACTGGCTTTCTTTAGTCTCTGGGGTAGTAAATTATTTTTTAAAAAAAGAGTTTTGTGAAATGAAAGAATCTCTAATTATTGCACACAAAGAGGATTTTCATCATTATTTCTAAGGATATGCAGAAACATGTGCCAAGTCCTGTAGGAACTAAGAAACTAACAAATTCGCCTTGCTTATTATAGCTGATGAATAATCAAATACTGAATATTCAGATGTCTGATGAGCCCTTTGTTTTCTCACACGTGGACAGGGATGAACATTGGTTGATCCTTAACATTCAAGAATTAATACAGCCACATTCAAGAAGATAAAGGCCAAGATCTTTGGGATTTTCCAGAAGGTCACACACACCATGTGCAGAGCCTCGAGGCCTGACAATTGGAATAATGACACACAAGCCACCTTGTCCATGCAGTGTGTGACCCACAAGCACTTTTCACCCCCAGGACAGCAGATCCTAGTGTTAAGAGCCTGAGCCCACAGGAGCTCTGGATTCAAATCCCAGCCTGACCCCTGTGAGCCTGGGACCTCAGGTAAATTACTCAACATCTCAGCTTCCTCAACTAACAAATGAGGACAATAATTCTGACCTCACAGAATCACTTTAAGGATTAAATGAGATACGATCAATGATTTGCTTGGCCCAGTTCCTAAACACTGTAAATGCTCAAGAAATGGTAACTCACATTACCATTATCACCACTGCAGTTGTCATTATTTTCTTCTTTCTAATTGTTCTCACCTGTCCATGTGCTATGAGTAAACCATAAGGCAGGCAAAGCTGTGGCATGTAGAGCCAGCAGAAACTGTGACCCTGTTACACCTGTTCCCATGGCCTAGGGTCTGAGGATCCAGACCAAAGGAGAACAAAGCATATTTCAAATCTAAATTGTAGTGTTGGGTTTGTTTCAGAGAAGGTCTCCGTATGTTTGTTTAGTTTAATATGAACAGGTTAATAAAAAAATATACTTCCGTCCTGCATGAATAGTTAATGGCAAATGTATGTGTAGTCAATGATACTTTAAGGGTAAATCTTAACTAAGACTCCATTTAGAAGTGGACCGCCACTCAGGTTAAAATGGAGACTGCTTTCTTCCACTGCGTTTAACATAAAACTATTAGCAAAAGGAGGAACAGTGAGACAATTGTTCATTATTGGTTTACCTCTTAAGGTATATCCTCAGTGTTGACTGGGCAGCATCTATATTTAGGGAAGCTGAGCCCACACACAGATTACGGTGCAGGCCAGTGTTTACCTGATGCTGGTTCATAAATAGGTGTGGGTGGCAGTTAGCTGGGTGTGAAAAGACGAGAGTGCTGGAGGAGGCAGCGGCTCCCCTCAGGGAAAAACACCTGTGCTTCTGTAGCCCCAGAAACCTCAGTGGGAGCAAGCAGCATCTTGTTTAAGAATTCTCAGTCTGGCCTCTGTAAGTAGGGCAACTGTCTAAGTTGTTGTCCAAAGGGACACTTCAGGGCTGCTCTGTCCAGAGCCCCTAGCCACACGTGGCTATTTAAGTTAACTGAAATTGAACACAATGACAAATTCAGTTCCTCAGTCCCATTAGCCACATTTCAAGGGGGCCTGCTAGGCACACGTGGCTAGTGACTACCATACAGGACAGAACAGCAGCAGAACATTTCCACCATGCAGTAAGCTCTCTGGACAGGGCTGCTGTCTCAGAAAGTGAGAAGAGGTGCTCACCAGGTGTGTTGCTTGGACCACAGGTGTGAACTGGAACCACTGCAGGTAAACCAGGACAAGTGGTCACCCTGTGGTCATGAAAGATATTTCACTCGGGCCTGAAATAAATGGGTATTTAAGAAAGCAACCCATTTCCCAAACCACACAGCAACTGTAAGTCCATGGTATCCAAGGTCTGTAACACCATGAGGAGGGAGACTGCCCCGTAGGATTTTTGATGTCCAGCGTCCAACACGGTCCAAGAGAACCTTCTGCATTGATGGAAATATTCTGTAATCTCCACTATCCAATACAGTAGCCACCCATGTGGCTACTGAGCGCGTGAAATGTGGCTAGTGCGCCTGAGGAAGTGACTTTTTCATTTTATTGATAATTAAAATAGACACCCGTAGCTAGTGGCTACCAAATTGGATGGTGTGGTTTTAATTACCGAACTCCACACCAGAGTGAAGAAAATAGAGTTTCTCTCTCCAGGGTAACTTGGGTCTGAAGCTCTGTGGGAAGCTGGAGAAAGCACAAACCAGAATTAGAACAGAAGCAAATGGGCTGCTGGCTTTTGAAATCAAGAGCACCGTACCTCTTTATTTGTGGAGGCTTCCGCGGGGTCACTGGGATGAAGGGGTGTACTTGAAGACTCTGCGCCCAGGGGTGAGGAGCTGCCCGGAGACGGAGACTGGAACACAGCAAGGGAACAACACGTGAGAAGCTGAGGGACTCGGGGAACACCCGGCCTGGCGGAGGGACGGGGAGAGAGCAGAAAGCCACACACAACCAAAGGAACATCTCAGGGGTGAGCAAACCTCCTTGGAGAGGAACTGCCAACTGTATACAAAAGACCTGGGGGTGTCAAGCTGTCTTCTAAATTCCCGCCATGTTTTCAAAGGACCCCTCACAACTCAGCTTTTTTTATCCCCTTTAGGCCAAGTGTTTAAATCAGCAAAAGTTGAATATCAAACGTAGAGCCCTAGATTAATAAAGCTACAGGTGATATACAAATGTGTTTTTTAAAAATTTGTCTTATTGATGGATACAAAGACTTTGGGTATGCATTGTCTTATCAAATCACCTGCCCAAGATTTTGTGAATGGAAAAGTAAAAATTAAAACACATATTTTTAAAGAGGCAACTGGGATTGATTTTGATGACCAGAAACCACACCACCTGTATTGTCCTAGTCAGTCCATATTTCAAAGACTTTATCTGATTTAATCCACAGGCCACTGAAAATTCAGAGAAATCTCAGCATCCACACATTACCTTGGCTCCTCTTAGAACAGCTGGAAAATCCTTTGTTAAAGGATATGTTTAAAAAAATACGGCTTAGAAAAATCGTTTTGGGGAATATGGTCCCCATCAGGTGTGTTATTGCCCCAGGCGATGGGCTTGGGCTCCCTGCACAGGCAGATCTTGCTAGAATGAATATGAAGCTCCAGGCCAGTGCCTGACACATGGTCCATGCTCCTTAACTACCTGCGGAATGAATGACCACAGCAAGCGAGCACACACAGGGGTGGGACTAACAGGCTCTGAAAACCCTGCCCAGGCAAACATTCTGTATGCTCCTGAAATCCTAGGAGATGAAGGGACTCTTCAGGTGAGCCACAGGGATGCTTCAGAATTCTGTAGCGACGGTCCTCTGAGAGTAAGAATGCACTGCATCAGAGTTTGTTGGTGAGGTTTGATGGAAAGCATAAAACAGAACCCACGCAAGGATCTACTCTCTGCGGAAGTGTGGGGATGCGAGCAAGGGGAGGTACGTCCTTAGCAAAGGAGGCAAATAACACCAGTAGTTGCCTGAATCTGCGTCTGATCTCTTGAGACGGGCGCGTGGGGAGACTGAAGAGCAGAAACATCAGTGAAATACCTCTGCATGGAAAGGGAGAATGTTCCACAAAGCAGTGGTGCTGAGGAGGGGAGGGAGCACATTAATATACAAGGAGGACCTCAGTGGGCATTGTGTGAAAAAATTTAAAAAAGCCAAATCTTTTCCATAAAGTCTGAATTACAGGAAACACAGGGGGCACCAAATGAACTGAATGAAGACGTAGAGAAATGCAGTATGTTCCACACTGAGACGTTTTATGGTCCCAGCCTATTGCTGTGAGGGCTGGATTTGTTTCCCATGAGCCCAAATACCTGATTCTGGGCAGGCAGCTGAAGACCAAGGGGCCTCTTAAACATTCACCTGCAGAAATCAGCTACTCTGCAATAAGGCCAAGAGGACGGGCACAAGGAGCAGCAGACATAAAGTACCCCAAGCCCCACAGCCCCCGAATGCAAGAAAATGACCCTGCAGGCTTTTAAAAAGAAACAAACAGAATTTTTCATTTGGTAGCCAAGAGGGCTGGCGGGTACTTCTGAGTTCGATCTAAGTTTGGCCAACTCAAAGTTAATAGTAACGTCTTCATGAGAACGTAGCACCTTTAAATCTTCCCAATTTTTCAAATTTGAGGAGCTCTTTAGATATTTACATCTCTTTATTTTTTTCTCCAAGTAATTTTCTCTGTCGCAAAGATTTTAAGGGTCTAGTCCCTGGGGAAGCTAGTGCAGCTGGTTTCTCTTTAATTGCTTGGTTTGAGGGCTAACACCTTGATTTAAAAAAAAAATGCTTCAAAAGAGTCCAACAGTTATTTCTTTATCTACTTTCTGTTGCAAATCTTCTAAAAATGGATTCTTTGCAAGGTTGTGGGCACCAGAGCATCCCAGGATGATGTGAGAAGACAGGCTGTCTGAACAGTGGGCTGGGATGCCGAAGAGGCAGGTCACATCTCGCAGGAAGACGACGTGACCAGGGCCAGGTGCCCACCATGGAACGCTGGAGAAGAGGCTCAAACGTGACTGTGGCGGGCACTGTCCCCACCAAGGCTCTCATGGGACCCCCCCAACCTTTATTAGGGGCCACTCCCCGCTCAGACACTCGATGTCTGCATGCAAATGAGCTCCTTCATTTTTCCTTCCGTTTGCATGTGCAGTTAATGTCTTCCATCTAGCGAGTTCTCCCTCATTCCCTCTTACGTTCACGCTCAATTCAAAAGCACTCGCCTTGCTGAAGCTTTCTCAGACTCTATTCCCAGTGCCGTCCCCCCACAATGGCACGTGCCAGGATTTGTAATGACCAGTTTATATACGTCTCCCCTCCTCCAAGAGCTCTTAGGTGGCAGGGATCTTGTCTTACTTATCTTTGTCATCCAAGTGCCTGGCCTTGGGTCTCATAAGCAGTAGGCACTCAGAAAACGTTTACTGAACAAATGATTTCAATGCAGTTTCTGGCTTTACCCTGTTTTCCAACTTGCACAGAAGTCAGATCAGCCACTCTCTCAGTATTTTTTAGTGGTAATGATAAACCCTTTTCGGATAGAGCAATCCTACACTGTTATGGGTAGAACGTTAAATCTGCATTTTGAATTAGAGAAAGGGTCTTTGCCTGTGAAGACTCTGACTTCAGCTCCCACAAAGCTCTTCTGAAGCAGAAAACTCCCCGAATGAGAAAGGACCCCACTGGTGGAAGCCTACTGCTCACATGCTGTTGCTGACAAAGTCAAGATGGACAAATGGCGTCAGAGCAGACACGGCTCCATGGAGCCTCAACCGAGGTGTAGTGTTAACTCATCTCAGACGTCTGCTTACAAGTCTTTGCCCCTCACCTCCAGCTTCTACCTTGTTATACTCTCAAAAGTGGAGAGAAAAGCAGAAATTGGACAATATTTTTTACTTTCAAAAAATGTACTGGAGGCAAAATTTAACCAATGAAATATGATACAAACAATAAAAATTATTACATATTTCTTTCTTCAGAGTCTCATGCCTTCTGGGTTACTGGATGGATATTCCATTTTAAGCAAATGAGACCAAGGATGGGAAGCAAACATGCACTCGGGAATTCACAAAGCTAAGAGCCGCAGCTGGAAGTCTAGAAGGAAGTAGTGATCAAAGATGATGCGATGACTCCCTGTTCTGGGTAATTACAGGAGGACTCCTTGAGCTCAACAACTTGTCCTCTGCGGATTGTGTTCTAGCAGATTCTCTAAACCCTGATCTAAATTTTACCGTCACATCTCTGGAGTCCCCCAGAGCAGAGCTTTCAGCCTTAAGACTTAGGTTCTTTGTCGCCAGGTGAAGATGACGATATGGATAGTCCTGTGAGATGGAAAATCCTGTTCTTAGGCCAGAGGTGGCCTAAGGATGCGAAAGCATCCAAAGGGAAAAGCAATCATTCATTTGAATTCCGACTGAACATCTCCTGGGGCACACATCGTACTGCTGGTGGTAGGGGTGAGACAGACAGCAGCTCACGGAAATTCCAGGACATGCTTGTAGGGGAGAAAAGCAGCACATGAATAATTATTATTCATGTATTCCTTCAACAGACATTGCAGTGCCTACCTGTGATCCTAATACTGGGCCAAGAAACACAGAGGAAAGCCATGGTGGGGTCCTGTCCTCCACCCCTTCCCAGAAAATGGGAGGAGGCAGCATGTGAGGTCAGGGCCATGCCAGGTGGCTAGGATATTAATCTATATGTAAGGACACAAGGTTGGAAGGGATCAACTCTGCAGGAGGGGAGGGGTATGGAGCAGCAGTGCTTCCTGGGGAAGGTGATTTTTCAGCTGAATCCTGAAAACTGTACAGTATTCATGGAGCAGGACAGGATGCAAGCGGGGGAAGGTACCGGAAACAGAGGCAGGGAGGTGGAATAGCACAGCTCTGCAGGGAAGGGAGAGATGAGCTGAAGGGCAGGGCAGGGACGAGTCACTGGCACCCCTTGATGATAAGCAGTTGGTCCTACTCTCTGCCAGAGGGTGTGTTGTGAGTCACTGGCCTGCTGTCCCACTGAAGCAGCACAATCTAGGCACTTAGCTATCTCCTGAGCTGAACCGGAAGGACTAAAGGACTGAGGGATCACGTCATCGCTTTCCCTCTTCCCTTTCCGTAATCCTCTTTCACCCTTGGACAGCTGCACGAAGGGAAGATTACAATCTGGCAAAGTGGACGGGATGATAATGAGATCACCCCAAAGCTTGAGCTAAAGGGCCCGCCGGATCTTTCCAAATGGACAGTGTTCTTTTCGGAAAGGCCTAAGGGCTGAGGCAGGCCCGAGAGCAAAGCCATGATTTGGAGAGGTGTACAGAGATCCTGAAAGACTTTTGGAGAAATTCTAGTCAAAAGACACAAAAAAGTGAGTTCTGCTTGGGCCATTCACTCATTTATTTAACATGGAAGTGCTGACAGTGTCTGAGGAAGCCCAGGTCCCCGCCCGTGCCCAAGGAGCTTCTGTTCTAGCAGAAGAGACAGACCTACAACAAGCACAGAGCATCCTCTGCAAGCAGTGGTCCTGTCTGAGTCCCCACAGGAAAGCAAAAGCTACAATAACACGACAGTCACTAAGGAGCTGACTACTCACAATGTCCACCTGAACAGTCCTCCCCAAACACTAGCATCTATCTGGTCCACGCCTTTGTCAGCTGGTCTCTGTTGACTGCTGGGACCACCTGGCAATTACAAGGCAAAACCAGAACAAAAACCAAAACAGCAAATGCACTGCAGAGTAGGAGTGCAAATATTGCAAAAAAATAAATAAAAAGGAAAGTTCTATAAAGTTGGAGAACTGCTCAAACCAGCTATGGATAATGGAAGAGTTAGTGGAGTAAAATCAATTAACCATTAAGAGGAAAA